ACGTCAACTGTTTGACGACTTGTAACACCAAGTTGACGGTTAATATTTTTGGCATGCGTGTGAACGGTAGGCTATGCCGGACAGCTCGTGTGCTTTCCTTGACTACCCGGATTCTACGTTCGATCTCGGGTACATGCTCGTTAGCACTGGCAACGTTCACTACCAGTCCACCCGGCATTGCCATGATTGTGTTGGACAAAGGCTCAAACTCATTGTCCACATGAATGGTCGTGATTTTAAAACCACGAGCCTTGTAGAATCGATAGACCTCCTTAACTGCTTCTAGGATGGTCTCTAGCTTCCTGTTGGGCAGGTGTCTAGATGTTGTAAAATCGATTTTACGGCTTAGCGTTAACAGGAACGGAATTCCTGCCACAAAGAAAATGTCCATCGTCAGGAACACATCCTTGTGTAAACGCAAAAAGTCTCTCGGTACTTTCATTGCATTGCCTGCCACTGCATTCAGTTTCGTCCGAGTGGTCTTGCCTTTCAACGCATCAATATCCTTGCCCCATATAGCGTGTGCCGTATCGATGTCTTCGACGGTCACAGGGCAATTTGCGATTTGATTGCTCATAATCGCCCAACGAAAATCTTTAATCGATGAATAGACGAGTTGCTTGTACAGCAGCTTCGCGCTTGACGCGGCTTTAACTTGTCGTTTGCTGAAGCCTTCCTTATTTTCGGCGACAGTATTCACAAGTGCCTTCCCTTTTTTCCTAGGGTCATGAACGTGTAATCCTTCACTGTTCATTTCGTATATTACGTCCGGTAGGCCTGGTCTAATGACTGTGTACGTTCCTTTCGGACAGTCGTAGACGATGTTGCAATTCTTGCGGACATTCTTAACAGATAAGATGTTCGTGATTCCTCTTTCATCGAACCATACTCTCTGTTTGTGGCCAGCTAGCTTGGCTGTGTGCTGGACCTTCAGCTTGCCTCCGGTACTCTTCACTCTAATGGGACGATCGGCTTTCCTGATGTCGGTAACCATGTCTTTATTACAGAATAAATCCAACGTGGACTGGTTGTCCAGTAGCTGGACCTCTCTCATATCTATGTCGTCCAATCCTTTTGTGTGGGCGACTATGCCTTGCTGAGTCGTGCGTTTCAGCGGTACGAACGTAAAGAAACCTTTCTCTACTTTCTCTTCATCTGACTCCGTGATGTCAGAGTCGGCATCATCCTGTTCTTTGTTCAGGGTTGTCAGTGCGGTCGTCATTTTATCCTGCAGTTTGCTGATAGTAGCTAAGGTCTTCCTTTGACTGCTACTAGAGCTTTTCTTGCTCGACGTGCTTGACTTGCTACGCTTGCTTGACTTCGACTTGTCGTCGTCATCTTTATCTTTATCTTTGTTAGGACAGTACGTGGCTGGATGTCCTTTCTCGTGGCAGTTAAAGCATTCTTTGTCTTTCCAGAATTCTTTGTCATAGCTTGCGTTTCCGCGCCCTTTTCCTCTGCCACCACCCCGTCCTCTCCCACCTTGTGCTGTCTGAGCAAAGGAGCTTCCGTGGGAAGTGGACTGTCGTGGAGTGTTACTCTTGGTGTGTTTGTCCAAGAGATGTAATACGTCATGTAACGTATGGGGATAGTTATCAGTGCCTTTGGCAAAGTCGTCCCTCAGGTTCTGTTTAAGCTTGGTATTTTCGGCTGAACTATTAGTTAAGAAGATGTAACTATAGTACCGTTCCTCTGCGTATGCCGAGACTGTCCTCTGGTCTTCGACTCCCAGGTCAGCGTATTCGGTGCCTGGGTGGAGTAGTTTGGTCCTATGCAGCAGTGCTGCGTCGTGTAGCTTGGAAATACCCACGGATTTTGCAATGTCCTTCTTCGTGGAAAATTGCTCGTGGTATTCGGAAGCGGTAAGGCTCCCTTGGTGGAAATTCAACAGTTGTTTTTCCAGTTGGAATAATGTGTGGTACACAAAATTATCATCGGTCTGGGCCATGATCGTCTTATGGATCATTTTTCGTAGCTCCAGTGGGTCGCATCTTAACAGGACGTCATCGTAGTCCGTGTTCTGCTTCATCTTGTCCTTTAATAGTCGGGTGCACTGCCCTAGGATCAAGTTGAATGCTTTGCCTCTATTTTCTTGTAGTTTTGCCAACCTCGTAAGGTGGGTCTTTATGAGCCCTCCATACTCTGTTTTCTCGAGTCCCCGGAGTTCCTCTTCCGGTGGGTCTGCTATTGCCAAGTACATTAGCACCTTGGAGCAGCGCGCCGACATCTTAACCAAAGGGCTGCCCCCTTCTCAGTTTGTGGTCATTCAGAAGCTTCTCATGGGATGGTAACTGTGCCAGTGTCGATCCTTCCACTGTCACTCCTATTTTTCATGGCCATGGCTGCTGTATGTTTGCAGTCATCTTCGAGTCCATTCATCGACTGCAAGGGAGTGCGATGATAGTGCTCCAGCCTTGAATGGCTCATGGTATCTTTGGTTAGTGTTGCCAGCATTGGCAACAACTTTGTGCAACCTACTGACACCTTTGGCCTATGAAATATTGATTGCATGGACATCATTGTCCACCTAGAAATAGCTAGCGAAAACCTGCTAAGCCTCAGTTATTTGGAATTGCCAGTATTGTCGCAAAGGGCAAGTCAGTTGACTAAACCTCTAACAGATGAACCCAAACATTGACCAGGAACTGCGGCATCAACCATGGGTCCAGCCAGCAATTGCCTCACCTATATGTATGGAGCCACAGGAGCCAAGGGCAAGTCAGTTGACCAGAGCTCTAACAGATGAACCCAAACATTGACCTGGAACTGCGGCATCAACCATGGGTCCAGCCAGCAATTGCCTCACCTATTTATATTGAGACACAAAAGCAATGGGCAAGTAAGTGCACCAGAGCTCCAACAGATGAACCCACACGTTGACCTGCAGCAACTACCAGAGCAGCAACTTGCCCAGCCATCATATGTCTCACCTATCATAAGTAAGAATGGAGCCATAGAACGAGAAAAGCAAGAACGGACAAGTTAGGCAAAAACGTTCAACCAGCATCAGCCAGCAATATTGACCAAATTTGGGGCCGCCATGAGAATTAAATTTAATCAACTTGCCTTAGTATTGATAACACCAGGAAAATGTTACGCCAATTGAATTTCTTCAATTTTGTCCTCCGTTATTGTTGATTCTTTGTGTCGACGCTCCTTAGCTATGAACGCCGCAGCAAACTCGCTTTGAACGGCGGATTGTCCTCCGTTATTGTTAATTCTTTGTGTCGACGCTCCTTAGCTACGAACGCCGCAGCAAACTCGCTTTGAACGGCGGATTGTCCTTCGTTATTATTGATTCTTTGTGTCAACGCTCCTTAGCTATGAACGCGGCAGCAAACTTGCTTTGAACGACAGAGCGTGGGTGGCTCTCGTATCGGGAAAACTCAAATGAAGGTAGATTCACAGCCGAAAAGACAGTTCGTTGCCTTTTGTAATATTTGACCATGCATTTAATGATCTCGGATACCTCTCAACAGCAAATATGTGATCAATCTCCCTGAGCCCGGATGAAACACGAATCCAGTGGGAAATGAATAATATGACGGTTGTCGTGGCGGATTCGTCTTGTCTTGTTCTTGCTACTTCTATCCCAGCAAATTGATGCTGTTATTGACCGCACAGGATACAGAACTTGGGTAGAGCGACTCAAATCTGTCTTCCAATCCGAGATTAACGGTCGCGAGACCAACTTCCCTAGGCTCCGATGAAACGTGAGCCCAGTGGGAAGTTTCGTACAACACTAGAGTCGTTCTCTTCTTAGAAGCAATTGATATGATGGTGGCTGCTACCGAATAATATGATGTTGTCGTGGCGGATTCGTCTTGTCTTGTTCTTGCTACTTCTATCCCAGCAAATTGATGCTGTTATTGACCGCACAGGATACAGAACTTGGGTAGAGCGTCTCAAATCTGTCTTCCAATCCGAGATTAACGGTCGCGAGACCAACTTCCCTAGGCTCCGATGAAACGTGAGCCCAGTGGGAAGTTTCGTACAGCACTAGAGTCGTTCTCTTCTTAGAAGCAATTGATATGATGGTGGCTGCTACCAAATAATATGATGATTGTCATGGCGGATTCGTCTTGTCTTGTTCTTGCTACTTCTATCCCAGCATATTGATGCTGTTATTGACCGCACAGGATACAGAACTTGGGTAGAGCGTCTCAAATCTGTCTTCCAATCCGAGATTGACTGTCGCGAGACCAACTTCCCTAGGCTCCGATGAAACGTGAGCCCAGTGGGAAGTTTCGTACAACACTAGAGTCGCTCTCTTCTTAGAAGCAATTGATATAATGGTGGCTGCTACCGACGCTTGTGACTGCCACTCTTTCCTCTTGTTCTTTCCGCTCCCCTCGAGGAGATCCGATCCTGCCACGGCACTCTGGTGCCGCTACCAGAGATCACCAACAGACAACACAGCTGCTGCTATCAGCCGCAGTCAAAGCAGTGATGATATGATGGATACGGCCGTGCTATCAACCACAGCAGCCGCTGAAGCGATCTAATGCTGCAGCAGCGATCTAATGCCGCCGTCAACGGCAGACAACGCCGACGCCAAGCACAATCGACTCTGATATGGAAGTGCTACAACAGAATAGTCAATCTGTCCTTGTCTGTTCAACAAAACCACTTTCGACACTCTACCAACAACAGGAACAACCTTGAAACCAAAGGCTGTGTCCAACAAGATTGTGTCTCCCCAGCAAATCTCAATTTGGGAATGACCCTGTAGAACCCAGTACAATTTCTACTGGCAAAAATGTTCAACCACTGGTCGCCGTGTTGAGGCAAAATTCTGACAGACCAACCCCAGAGAAAAAGATGGGTTGGCGAATCTGCGTCTAATGATGCAGCATCCGCCGAGCATGTTGTCAGCTGTGGCGTCATTGCAATGGCTAGGTGCTTGCTTTGTGCAGTTGCCGCTGGTGTGGTTGTCGTTTGGTCTCAATCCGTGAGACCAACAATAGTACATGGGGATGCCGTTGCTTCCGGTCACTGATTTAGTCGCAGTTGGCATTTTGGTGGTTTGGTTCGTCACTTTGTTCGCATATCCGACTTCCTTCGGAGTGAGGATTCGGCGTCTTTCCTTGTCTGCAGCCATCATGGTCGGCGGCAAACTTCTGGGCGTCCTTGACTTGATTGTAGAGGTCTTCGATTGGTTGGGAAGGATTCCAGGTAGCGTTCATGCGTTCTTCGTTGTCCTTGATGTCATCGGCGTCCACTGTGCCGTATGCTGCATCTAAGTGGGCGAGGATTTCACGGGCGGTGACTTGTGCATAGCCGTACATCTTGTGTTTGAGTGTTTTGGTGAAGGTGTCAGATACCGCTTCCAGCAACTGCTTCTTGAGCGCTGTTTCGGTTCCTCTGAAGATGAGAAATTGTTTTTCGTTTGCTGCAAAGAGCCTGTTAGTTTCTGCAATTGTCATTGCATTAGCGTTGAGCTCCTGGTGGATGATTTTGAGGCTGTTGTAGGTGGGCTTTTCCTCTGGTGGGATGGCGGTGAGTGTTTCTGTGCCGAAGTGGTCGATTGCAACATATGATGTCATGGTGTTGGTTGACGGCAGCTATAGCTTTGGCTTTTGCTGTTGCTCTTCATGTGATGTGTTGAGTTCGTCATTCGATTCAGTTAGATTGTTAATAACTGTTGATCCAGGTGGAAAGAACCTAGGGAAAATTGTTGATAAAGATTAGTTATTAACAATTATGAGCAAGTTCTAGCTAGTTGTCCCCATACTGGAGCACACAGGCCCAGCTGGGGAGTGCCCTGGTTTCCAACAGCTTTTAACAGTTTGTGGGTCCTGGTTGGAAGCAGGGTGACCTTTTGGCAGGCTTGCTGGCATCTTGATTGTGATTAAGCACTGATCTGGTACCTAATGACTTAAGGGTCCTGGTACCAGATCAACACATTGAACTACATTTTAAAAAGATATAGAAAAATATTCAAGTCATAAGGTAGTCAAGTTATTGAAAATCTATTCTTCAATTTGGAGGGCCTAAAGTAAAATAGAATAATTCAACAAAGTGAGAGCATTGAAAACAAACGTTTATTTTGATAACTTAATTCACTAGCTTTATATTATTATCAAATTAGTTAAAGAAGTATAATGGAAGTTTAGCTTTTGTATTGAGTTACCATCGCAGTGGGTAGCACGTAAAAGCAAGTCGAAAAGGTTGCAACTTGCTCTGAATTCATTGGTTCTTGTTAGAACAATCTAGCTTGAATGTCCCTCTATTTCTATATAGTTAAGGCTGCTCTGAATCATGGCTCAAAACAATTTATGAAGGTAGGCTTCCTAGTGAAGAAGGCTGATTTATTAATTACTATATAAAATTAACTCGTAAACATTTGAAATCAAAACAGGAGCTATTATGCAAGATGATTAGAGAGTGATTAGTGTTAGTTATTATAGCACATTTGATGCATTGAATTACTTTTTAGAAAAATATAGAAAAATATTCAAATCATAAGGTAGTCAAGTCATTGAAAATCTATTCTTCTATTTGGAGGGCCTAAAGTAAAGTAAAATAAAATAATTCAACAAAGTGAGATCATTGAAAACAAACGTTTATTTTGTATAACTATCAAATTAGTTAAGGAAGTATAATGGAAGTTAGCTTCTGTATTGAGTTATCATCGCAGTGGGTAGCACGTAAAAGCAAGTCGAAAAGGTTGCAACCTGCTCTGAATTCATGGGTTCTTGTTAGAACAATCTAGCTTGAATGTCCCTCTATTTCTATATAGTTAAGGCTGTTCTGAATCATGGCTCAAAACAATTTATGAAGGTAGGCTTCCTAGTGAAGAAGGCTGATTTATTAATTACTATATAAAATTAACTCGTAAATATTTGTTGTTCGAAACAGGGGCTATTTTGCGAGACGATTAGAAAGTAATTAGTGTTAGTTATTATAGCACATTTGATGCATTGAACTACATTTTAGAAAAGATATAGAAAAATATTCAAGTCATAAGGTAGTCAAGTCATTGAAAATCTATTCTTCAATTTGGAGGGCCTAAAGTAAATAGAATAATTCATCAAAGTGATATTATTGACAACAAACGTTTATTTTGTATAACTATCAAATTAGTTAAGGAAGTATAATGGAAGTTAGCTTCTGTATTGAGTTACCATCGCAGTGGGTAGCACGTAAAAGTTAGTCGAAAAGGTTGCAACCTGCTCTGAATTCATGGGTTCTTGTTAGAACAACCTAGCTGGAATGTCTCTATATTTCTATATAGTTGGTGCTGTTTCTGAATCATGGCTCAAAACAATTTATGAAGGTAGGCTTCCTAGTGAAGAAGGCTGATTTGTTAATTACTATAGAAAATTAACTCGTAAACATTTGTTGTTCAAAACAGGGGCTATTGTGCAAGACGATTGGAGAGTGATTAGTGTTAGTTTTTATAGCACATTTGATGCATTGAATTAAATTTTAGAAAAGATATAGAAAAATATTCAAGTCATAAAGTAGGGTTCCACTCTACATGTCATGGGTCAGAATCCAATCCTTATAACCAGATACAACTAGGTACCAGATTATTCTACTCAAAATAGTGGGGGGAATATCTCCTGTGCGCCTCATCCACCATATGGCAGAGTCAGGGTACCAGTGACAGTCAGAGTGGGAGGGACCTAATAGGGACCTCAGGCCTTTTGTCTCAATTTCCTTCCCTTAGATGTCTAAGACAATCATGGGGGAGTCCACTGAGAGGCACTGAGGCAAAGCCTCCCTGCTAGATATTCACCATTCATAACAAACCTGTCTGATCCAATAGCAGGTGGCATTCCTGCTGGTGGAGTCAGGCCAATCTAGGGCGGGCGGGTGGGTGGGAGAAAAAAGTTCCTGTCATCTTCATGGGATAGTCCACTCAGGTTGATCACTACCAGAGGTGACAACCCATGTTGATGCAGGCTCAATCAAGAAGAAGGTATTGGATATCGATAATGATAAATTGTGAGGCTTGTAAGCCAACAGCCATCTTGTACCCAAGGTGGGTGTTGACCTGTTCTGTATCAGACAGCTTAACCTCCTTAGAATCCTTTAGACTTCACCCTACTTTGGCATTGAGCGCGCATAGGGTTCCATCTCTTGGAAGCTAGAAAGGCTCTACATGTCATGGGTCAGAATCCAATCCTTGTAACCAGATACAACTAGGTACCAGATTATTCTACTCAAAATAGTGGGGGAATATCTCCTGTGCGCCTCATCCACCATATGGCAGAGTCAGGGTACCAGTGACAGTCAGAGTGGGAGGGACCTAATAGGGAGCTCAGGCCTTTTGTCTCAATTTCCTTCCCTTAGATGTCTAAGACAATCATGGGGGAGTCCACTGAGAGGCACTGAGGCAAAGCCTCCCTGCTAGATATTCACCATTCATAACAAACCTGTCTGATCCAGTAGCAGGTCGCATTCCTGCTGCTGGAGTCAGGTCAATCCCCCCTCATGAGTAGTTTCCTTGCGTCCTTCTCGATTAAGTATCTTCTAACCAGCAAGGGTGCAGTAAACAGTGGAGGGCACATGCCCTCACTTTTACCACCGGACAGAAACAGAAGCCAACAAATTGGTTCTGTCACCGAGTTCGACTGTGTATGGTCAGCCACTTAAGACGTCATGCAACATGCAATCGTGTCTCGATGGCTCGCCCCACTTCCACGTAGCGATCCGTAGGTATCTACGAGATCACCCATGTGGTAGCGGTCTATCGGCGAGCGTGAGTGAAATTTTTCTGCTGTGTCAAGTCTACATGGGAATGTACCTGATACAAGCGGATATAGACGTATCCATGAACGTGGGACTTGTCCAGTGAGGGTTCCTTCTCAACATCGGTTGTGGGAGTTGACGGTTGACTCCTTGTTGTTGCTCGTTGTGTTGCCGGAAATACCAATTTTACTCAGCGAAGGTCAACGGCAGAGTAGCCCCGAGCCAGTACTTGAGGACGAAATTTGAGGTCGGCTCATAAATTTCTCCAGAGAAATTCAACACTCCTTAGGCTTCCTTTTGATCAGGAAACGAAAGTTGTTTTAGCAAAGCATCCCCTCATTTGATCACCATGGCGCGTAAATAACCAATGGAGCCAATGCCGACGGGTTGTATGCTTGCACCGACTAACCGGATTGAATGTTCTCTTCTGAAAGTAAATTCAAATCGTACTCTAGCTCAGTTCCTTGGCCATTTGTCCCAAGTCACCGATTTTCGAAACGCTGACGGCACCGTTCGCGATCCACTCAAGGGTCTTCGCCCCTTCTTGTCTCTTGTGTACCAGTCTGAGTTTTACGGCATGGTTCTCAAGGCTGACGCAGATGCGTACCGTGCTCGCAACGCCCAACCCCTCAAGCGAAAGGCTCGTGAAGAATCCTCCAAGTTGTTCAAGTGCAACATGAAGCGTGCTCGGTACTCGGACGACGTCATTGCCGCCAACACCAACGCTCAGGCTTGGTTCGTCAGCAAATGTGCTGACATCGACAGCCAGCTGGTCGCTAACATGACCCGCATCAAGGGCGGAAACGCTTCACTTCCCGTCGTCATGGAGGCTCCCAACGAATTTGCCGGGTAAGCGAGCTTTGATGCTTGGGGGTGCGCGTCGACCCAAACGGGGCGCCAAAAACCATGCCAGTTGGCATGCCTACTGTTGTGGCTCGCCATTGTCATTACTTTTTCAAGGGAAGCCGAAAACCGAAGCGCTTCCCCTCTGGATCTGTCACTACAAGAACAACAACACTAATAGCAACACAACCAATCGGTCATACCTATACCTATACCATTACACTACCTATTAGCACCATTAGAAGCATTGAAACGAAGCGAAAGGACCTCAGGAAGCTTGTTATCTGTTATTTCGTTGAAGAGTACTGTTTTACTATAGGAATCCACTCAACGTCATCACGGAAAACATACATCCTTTTTTCCTCTCTTTACAACCTCTTCAAGCCGAAACGGATCGATACCTCCCATCTCCTATCAAGCGCACCTCTCCTATCAAGCGACTATCAAAGCGGCCTTCCCCGGTTCAGATTAGAAAGCCATCCCAATTGAAATCCTACGAGATCGGGCGGGTTTTCTATTCTCGACCGCCGACGGCCAAGTTGGAAGAATTTGAACACAAGAAGAAGTCACCGGTCTTCTGCAGTACCAGACGAGCAGAGAAACACATACTCATTTGTTACTTGCTGTTCTCTCACTGCCGACGGCCCAAGAAATCCCATTGTCGGCCGATCCTTCTTTCGAACGATCGACCTCCGCAACAACAACAGGCTCGGTTAACCTTCCCCCTAAGGCAACTGACTCATTCGAATCTTCAATCGTCATTCGAATCTTCCATCGCGAATCGAATCGATCTTATCGAATCGATCCTCGAATCAAGACTCACCTCCGTGAATCGATCGATCTTCCCACGACCGTACCTCTTCTCCGTACCTCCTCTTCCTCCGTACGGATCGAACGACAGCCTACTATCATCAAGAAGGACTTCACGAGATACCTGCAGTGACCGTCGAGAACAGAAACACAGCTGTATTTCTTACTTTCTCACCGGCCACTCTGGGTTTCCCCCGACGTCCTTGTTGGAACTGATCCTAAGAATTGACCACAAGAAGAAGTCTCCGGCCTTCCACAGCACAGTACAGAAAACAACTCCCATACGTGTCATTGTTGCTTTCTGAACTAAGCTCCTGACGGCCGAAGAAATCCCATTGTCGCTCCTCCCTTTTTCGAACGATTCAACGAATCGAACCGAAGCCAAGACTCGCTACTCCGTGAATCGATCAATCTTCCCGCGACCGTACCTCTTCCTCTGTACGAAGCCTACTATCATCAAGACGGACTTCACAAGATACCTGCAGTGACCGTCGAGAACAGAAACACACCTGTATTCTTACTTTCTCACCGGCCACTAGTGGTCTCTCCCGACGTCCTTGTTGGAACTGATCCTACGGATCCCACCAGTCCTATCCCTATACAGACTGAGTGACTGATCGACACCTGCTACTGTTACCACCCCTCCATTGATATCTAACTCCTCTCCAAGAGGAACAACAAACAACAACAGAGTTCCCTGTAAGACCTGAAAAAAGTTTCCTTGTATCTCCATTCCAGCTTGGCTAATTTGCAGTTTCACAGCCCCTCCCTGAGATACCAGCTCCTCTCCAAAGGATCTCACCCCCACAAGAAAACTACAAAAGCTGCCCCTCTAGCGTGTTTCTAGATTGTGCAACACCTCCATTGAAACAGCCACCTCTCTGCACCTATGTCTCCTACTGAACTAGGAACTCCAAAGGATTGAGCCCCAGCAGAACTGCAGCGTGGTGTGGCATAGATATTAATACATAACTGACGCTATCTCTCTCATTGATTGTTGAGTGACTCTCCAGTGACTTTCCACAGTTCCACCTGAATCGAGATACCTCCAACATCTTGGCTTGACTCTCTGTTGATTTCTGTCCCTGCACAGATTGATACCAGCCTTTGAGACAAACAGTGTCAACCAGTAACACAGCCCCATCAACCAACAACACCCTTGACCCCCCCACCACTGCCTCTACTGCTATAGCGTGACTTCTCAGTTTCCCTGAAAGAATCCTAACAGCCTTTGGCTCGATACCATCTTCTCCTGCAGGTAGTGGTATACCTGCACAATTTGGCCACAGCCTGATCCAGCAACAACAACCCAACAACTTGATATAAACCTTGATTACCAGTGCCTCAGTGCATTGCCCCTTGAATCACCCTTCTACATCAATCATCTCGCCACCTCACAAGCAACCTCCATTGCTTGGTTGAAGCAACGACACTACAGTCAAACTCCAGGATCACAACTCCCCCACCAACCCACCTACACCCCACCATGACTTCCCCTTGTCTACCCACTACCTCACCAAACCCAAGGTCCTCACCGACATCCCCACACTCCCACACTCACCAACCAACCACATCCCCATCCCCCGCAGACTACACAACCACCCCCCAGATGATCAGACAACAGCTCCTAGAGCATGAGACCCATCCCTGAGTCGACACCCCAATCACACCCACCCTATCAGGGAGGATGCCTTGTCCACCTTGAACAGAGGCACGCCTCTATCTACAACACACCATCAACCTGCTACATCCCAACTCCTAAACAACACTCCAACACCAACAGGATCCCCCTCCTGCCCCTGGCACCAGCCCACTTCCAGTGCCCCCTATCCTCTATGACTCAACAACCCTCGAACAGCCCACAACACTCCAGCAGCCACTTGCTCCCTCCTGGGAACACACACTGCCAGTTTGTCATTTGACCCCTCTTTTGCCTGCTTGTTGCCTCTATCTAACAATTTTGTGCATTGGATGGGTTACACCCTGCTCTGGTCCAGCTGAGGATTACCACCTCCTACGGGCTGCTGGCATCTTGCCTTGCATTGCCAAGGCCCTTGCCACAGCTTGGACCTGATCACCCAGACCACTTACTGGCGAGCACTTTTTGGTCTGGCAATCTACTGGTCCTCACGGTCCCTTATGTTGATAATGGTTTCAATACCGACAAAATCCTGTGTAAGCCCCTGTACCCAGGTTTTGCGCTGCAGGTTCCCTATCAATGTGCTCACCCCCCTACCAGGGCATCTGTCTACTTGGTGCTGGCTCCACGTTGGGCCAGTGGATGAGGTCATGTTGATTGGGCAAATAAGTAGATGACGACTCAGCTAGGTGGGGGCTTCCCCACCCATTGCCCGCGTCACAAAAGCCACTCCGTGGCCATAGTTTGTTAAACTAACGAGTAATTTACACCCATCGAATTTGTATCGAATTTAATAATTCGATGAAGGATACAATCGATTGCAGCCGTTGCGCCCAACACCCAAGAAAGGATTGAACGACAAACAATGGAACAGATCGAGGACAACTTGCAAAGCATACCGTATCTCCTACTTCTCAACTCTTCTGTTCCTGTAGTCTAAACGCACCTTGGACAGCTCCATTACCTTTCTTGATCCTACCGGCCGGCCCTTGAGCAACTAAAATCCCAAGAAGCAATGCTCTACTCTGTGATTCTCCCCACGTACAATGAAAGGGAAAATTTGCCCATCATTTTCTACCTCCTTCACACCACCTTTACAAATGCCAAGCTCAATTACGAAGTGGTGATTGTGGAGGATTCATCTCCCGATGGGACACTCCAAGTAGCGGAACGCATTCAAGAATCGTTTGGCAAAGATCATGTCACAATTATTTCTCGAAAGGGAAAATTGGGATTAGGTACTGCCTATGTGGCTGGACTGAAAGAAGCCAAGGGCGATCGCATCATCATTCTCGATGCCGACATGTCACACCACCCCAAATTTATCCCCGAAATGATCAAGGTCATGGACGAACAAAAGGTGGACATTGTCACTGGTACTCGCTATGCCGGAAATGGCGGTGTGGCGGGATGGGATACCTACCGCAAATTGACCTCCCGGACGGCCAATTTCTTGGCTGACTTTTTGCTCGATCCGGGCGTGTCGGATTTGACGGGGAGTTTTCGATTGTACGAAAAGGCTGCCATTCAAAAGGTACTGCCCAAGGTAGAATCCAAAGGATATGCCTTTCAAATGGAAGTCGTCGTACGGGCCCGACAAATGGGAATGTCCTTTGCCGAAGTGCCCATTTCGTTTGTGGATCGAATCTATGGAGAGTCCAAGTTAGGCGCCAATGAAATTGTCCAGTACTTGAAAGGACTCTTGAAATTGTTCTTTACCACTTAGTTAGAGAGGAGGTACTGTACTGATTACGAGACGACTGTTCGTGGTGGAATTTTAAAAGCAACAATTAACTGTAATCTTAGATGCCGCATGGCGATAGGCTTTAAATGCCTTGGATTTGCCAATAGGCATGGGCATTCAAACAGCGATAGTTGGCTATGGTAACAAAGGTTTAGAAATAGCCAGACATATTCACCTGCAACCAGGGGAGTTTTGAGTGCGTAATGTACCTGTCGTGGTCTGGGATCTATTTTGCAGGGCGAATGTGTTGCATCTTGGAGGCATTGATGCTCGTGGATTCATCCATGTCATACATGGTGGCAACTTCATTTACAAGCAGGTCTACCATCCAATCACCTAGTCTTTTAGGACCTGCTTCCACAATCCTGACCAGATCCCCAAGGAGTTCTGGATTGGAGTTGATGCCTGGAATTTGACTTTGGTTTCCCAGGAGGGCGACAGGCCTGCTGGTGACCTGCATGCATGACTTCTCATGGCAATTGGCACTCAGTAGAGCAGTAGTAGGCGACGAAGCACAATGAGCAACGTTTCATCCCTTGCACTCCAAGATGCTCTGTAGTTTTGCCGTTGACTCTTTGGCAGCTCGACTTTCTTTATCAAATGTATTTAGCATTTTGTTCTGTCCTTTTGAAAGTAGCATTGTCAATACCTCGGCGGACACACTCAGCAGCTTTCGGCAATACTAAGAAGGCCGTCAGATCACTTTCGTGCCTTCCAACGGCGATTTCGTGGCGTCCGTGAAGTTCCCAAGCTGCCAATGTCGCTCACTGTGTTGGGGCAAACCACGAGGCCCATCTAGATCTTTTGCAACAATTTGCTGGCATGGTCTCCGAAAAAAGCATCCTTTTCAGCGTCTGAGGTTTTTGGATCCACCTTTCTAAAGAGCGGCCCTTCGTTGAGATCCACCATCCAGTTTTGCCTTTGCTTTCACCATGGCGTGAGCTGAGAAAAAGTTGTACCTCCTGGTCCTTCGGGGAGAAAGAGCGTTGTGACTCCGAGCGAACCGTCTCCAAACTGACTTGGGCACTTTCTGCAAGAGTGCACCAGCAAGCTGACGCCCTCAACACATCCAATCCAACTCTCCCGTCTGTCTCTGGCCGCTCAAGACCGTGCATGTACGCCTTCGTCCTGTTTCTTGACTTCGTAACTCGAAAACCATCCCTTTGGGGGCAGTTCATTGATTGTCCACAACAACAGATCCCTCATCCGTGTCATTCGCGGCAGAAAAGGGAGACTGTACGGGAGGTGCCAGCCAAATAGGCGAGCGAGCACCAGCTCGAATCAGTCCGCCATTCAATGAAAAGGGTGCTCTGTCTAGTACGGTAAGGTTGCATATCCATCTTTGCACAGTAACCCCGATGCAGTTTGCCCTGCAAAAATCTATACATCGTACACTGTAACAACCCACGACCTTTTCGATTCCGTACGGTACCTGGTACCGGTACGTTTCAATAGCTTTTTAGTTATAGTCTATTGCCGCGAAAATGATGCATCGTTGCTCCCTCTGTGTCCGTTGCTACTTTGCAGGTCGAATGTGAATCACCTGGGATGCCTTGATGCTCATCTGCCCCTCGATACCATGCTTATTGCCAGCTTCATTCACAAGGAGTTGTACCTTCCAATGGCCCTTCTTCTTCTTGATATCTGCTTCCACAATCTTGACGAGCTCACTATTGAGTTCTGGCTTTAATGACTTGGATGGAACAAGCTGCATGATATCTCCTACTTGGATTGCCCCAACCGGCCTGCATGCCCGATGGTGACCAGCTCTCCATGCTTTTGCTTCACACTCAGCAGAGCAGTAGTAGGCCATGTTGCACTGGGAACAACACTTCATTCGGACCTGCCCAAACTCCTCTTGAGACTTGCCACAACAATCGCAGGCAAAGCCTCCCACTTCCAGTCTCTTTGCTAGATCAGGCTGCGCTGCAGGAACGTGACAGGAGAACACCTCGACTTCATGGAACCGATATCGAAGAATCACCGCGTCATTCCATTCACTGTTGGTTTCCGCTGCAGTGACTTTCAGGGCTGCCAAGGCCACCGTGAGCTCAACTTTAAGATCGGGCAACAAGGAACTCACGCTCCGGTATTTTGGTGGGTTTTCATTCTTCACAGAAGCGCAAATAAACTTGTCCTTTTCCTTGTACGAGACGTTTCCTATGAATATCGCTGCTCGGCGGTAGCACTCTGCGGATTCATGTTGATCACCCTTGAGAAGCCAAAAGACCCCCAGTCCTTTCCAGGCCATGGCCTGGACAAGGTTAAGCTCTCGGCTATCTTCTGCAATCTTTGTGAGACCATCAAAGTCTGCTTTTGTGGCTGTTCCACAGCACTGTAAACTGTGCACATACAGCTTGAGGTAGCCGAACTTCTTGCCATTCTTTGTCAAGCCAACCTGCTGCAAGAAGTCATCAGCCCCCTTCCGAAATTTGGCAGCCACTTCGGATGTCATGTTGTAGTGGTGCACGGGTAGTTTCATCGTAGACATGGTTCTTGCCGCTGGCTAGCCAGGATGCAAAAAAATTATGTAGAAAAATCTCCCGGTGAACTGGAAATCCAGGTCAGTCGTGCAAACCTGAGGCAAAGGCGAAGGTGCACGACTTACCGTGGATTTTAAGGCCGAGGACGAGGCCAGATGAGGCCAGGTCAAGGCGTGAAAGGAAGGCCGAAAGGCCTGGAAAACGCCGAGACCGCAGACGAAATCGCAGCCGAGAACAAGGCCGACAGTGAAGCGGGAGATCTTTGTGTGTAATCTGCCTGACAACATGCCCGAGGAAACAGGAGCGCCATTGTCGTGTCGTCGCTGGATTGAGAGTTGTTGTTGTTGTTGTTGTTGTTGTTGTTCGAGTTGAGTGGTTGTCATGTACAGTACAGTTTACCATTGAATCAGTCGTGTTTCAGCAATTTCAACGACTATTTTCTGTGTCCTTTTATTACTTATGGGTCAAGAAACGGCTGAAAATCCAACAGTGGATTCTGCGTGATACTACTAGTGTGATCTTACCCGCCAATTCCCACTCAAGAAAACGGCTGAAAATCCAACAGTGGATTTTACACAGTAACTGCTAGTTGAGTAAAACTTCCAAGCAACTGGCTCCTTATACAAACCTGGGAAATGGCACTCAAAATCCATGTGTAAGCTTAAATCTTCAGATTGGATTCTCATCCAAATCCAGTAAAGAGTCCTTCTAGCAAACATCACGGGGATTCTGGCCGTTTCAACCTGCAAAAAAACCTGACACGTAGAAAATGTACCAGATGCTACGAGGGCGATGGCGGGTGGATTATGTGTCAAACAATAGCTAGAGGACCAAAGTCATGTACAGGAATAACAAGTAATTTTTCCATTTCCATGTAACCCATGCAGGAGAGCCTGCCCTCGAGGTGAAACTCCCCTCACAATTCTCTCCGAAATCATTTCACCTCCCGAGCAAATGGACCTCTCTTTGGGAAATGATATGAAATCAGACAGAACAACATGGGCACCTCTGGCACAGTAACCCCCCAACGCTTCTAAGATATATTAACTTACTTACTAGAGATAGAAGATAAATATCGTGGTGGATCAAGCGAAGGATGTCATTCCTTTTCTTTTCCTCCGTTCGTTCGATCGATCAATCACCTCACCATGGCAGAAACGCCGCTCAAAAAGAAGGTAGCAAGGGCTGCTGGCATCCACAGTCTAGCAAAGTCAGGAGGAATGAATGTTGTGCAGGCGATGGCGTATGCTGGAATGACTACACCACAGAAAGAAGATCCAAATCTCCGACAGAAAGTTCGACGGAAATCGCATTCTTTGAAGTCTACAGCCGCTGCAGCCAAGGCCGACCATGATGCACCAGTCAAGCCGCCACCTCACATCCCTGAAGAACAAAGAGCTGCTGCAGAAAAGTCGCTCAAGGAAAAGCTGGCCAAAAAGAGTCGACTGACCGGAAGACAAGCCGCTCATGCTCGGAAGCAGAAGAAAGAACAGCGCAAACAATACAGCGCCTTCTACAAGGCTGCATCTCTAGAGTGGAAGGAAGAACTACTCAGAGCGGAGTCCGAAAGGGCCCAAGGTTTTACCTATGTTCCACGATCTGCAGAGACGATTGCAAATGAATTCAACAAGAAACATGAAACCAAACTGAATGGCAAAACCATTCGCAACATGGTGGAATGTGGAGATGCTGGCAAGAGTCCCAAGCGAAGAGGACCAAAGGGAAGGATCGATCCTGTTGGATTCAAGGCTTTGTGTGGAGCTGTCGAGTCTCTTTGTTCCCTCTCTTCAGATGTTGATACATCAAAATTGGCAAAGCTTTTGAATGCTTGCATCAACATGAAGGAAGGACTCGGCAAACGGACTGGTCGATGGCTGCTTGAACGAGTTGAAGCAGAGATCGGAAGCATCCTCGAATGTGGCAAGGCAAACAGAGTTGAGAAGAGAAGGATGAAGTGGGCAACCTACAGCAATATCAACCTTTGGTTTGATTCCCTCAAAGCTCACTTCATTCACATTGGAGCAGCCAAAGAAAACAAAGAAGATACTGCCACCAATGGTCAGCTAACATGGGTTGACGATTCCCAACGAAGAAGGATTGCCAATATTGATGAGTCAGGCCTCACACTTGATGATACCAAGAGTCAAAAAGGTGGCCGCCCTCCAATGAAGTTTTACAACCCAAGGCTTCAGGCCGAAGCCATCTATGAAGCACACAAGTCCTCATATCACTGCACACTCCTTGCAGGAACGTTTGCCTCCGGAGAGAAGCTGCCGGAACACTTTCAGATTCCGTCTGATGCTCAAGAAGAAAATATGGAGGTACCTGCCGACTTCATTGTGGATATCCTAGAAACCTCGGGTCGTTACTTGTTGGAAGAAGGAATGACAAAGACAATGTCTGCTACGTATGGTGTCAACAAGAAGGGAGGAATGAATAAGGAACAGTTCGGCAAGTGGACGAAAGGAAACTTTATTCCGATTATCCTAGAAGATACTGCCGACGTTCCAGGGAAGCATTGCACCTTGCTTGTTGATGGTGGGCCAGGCAGGACCAACAAGGACATGTTGATTGAACTGCGAATGCTTGGCATCTACCCTTTTCCGTCTGGGCCTCCAAACACCACCCATATTCTCCAAGTCATGGACATGTTGTTTGGCCTATTCAAAACTGCCTTCTTTGACAACCTTCAGTTGCTTTGGGAATACCGACAGAACAACAAGGATGCAGGTGATTCTATTACTCGGAATGATATCGGCCTCTTGTGTTATGGCAGTGTCCGTCGGCGGCAGAAGGATCCACAGTTTCCTGTGCTCCAGAACGCCATTGAGGAGGCATTCTCTATTGCCAAGGCGCGGCATGTATGGGCTGACAAGCTAGGTGTCTATCCAGTCTTCAATCGAAAAGCACTTGAGGATCCAAAAATCAGACATGAGTTGGTTGTTGACTCGGAGGGAGTTGCGGACGATACGGTGGATCCGCAAGCCTCCTACATCAAGGAATTGAATGAACAGAACAAGATGTGCTGCGATATTCTTGATTCCTTCGGATACAATGGAGATCTGCTCCGTTACCAAGCTCCGGCCTTCAAACAACAGAAGAGACAAGCCGCGGTGACAGCTCCATGGTCAATGGAGCGACAATTAGCTTTGGAGGCAGCTGCGACACAAGGGCAAGTCTTCAAGGTGACAGGTGGTGCTGCGCTCAATGACGATGACTTCCTCATTGCTGATGAGCGTGGTAGACTGAAGCAACAGACGGAGTCTCTTGAGAAGGACAAGAAGAATCATGTCGCGGCATGGAAGAGACAACAGAAGGCAATGGCAGTGGTTGAAGCAGAGAAGCCACTGTCCCGATTGACTGGAGAGGACTTGAAGGATTTGATAGCATGGAAGTCTGGAAAGCCTTGCCCCTCCAAACTGTCGAAAAAGGAGGAGAGGATGGCTAGATGGTTGGAGTTGAAGGACTTGATTGTCGATGCTATTGAGCCATGGCCGGAAGAGAAAGAACAACAGTTAACAGAGCTCAAAGGGAGGATTGAATCCAACATCAGCCTCGACAACACTGAATACGGTCGTCAAAGGGAGATACAGAAAGCTAAGGCACGGTCTCTTGTTGCAGCTATGGATCCGGCGGAGCAACATGCCTTCATCCAAAGCATTCAAGACAACTCTGAGGCACCAACAGAGGATGTTACTGAGACGGAGAGGATGGAGGCAGAGGATGACATCGAGTGACACTTTTGAGACCTCTGAAGCATGCTGTCGCTATGGGTAGCTACGACTGTTACCAGCGGCTGATGCCCATGGTGAGTCTTCTTCATAGTAATGCTGACAGTTCTTGCATTGACACCTTTCTCATCGGCCGCTCCTGTTATCTCTTTTATGTGGAACAGGTGCGCCATGGCGGGAACTTGGCTGCCATGCGTCTATTTTTTCAACGACTACCTAACAATTTACTAGCATGGAAAAATTACTGGTTATTCTCGTACCGTATGTCATCGAGGAAGAAACCACTCTGACGAATCCGTTTCGAGTAAATGTGTGTCAACGGTCCTTGCTGGTTCTGCCTAACACGGGATCCCAAGCCCAAGCAGAGGTATGTTGAAAGCTGTCGTCCGCCATCTTTCCGCTCCTGTCTTTGCACTTTTGATGGCCACGAATGGAGCTTGCTCTCCGACAGAGAACAATCTGAGAAAATGAAAAACTATCAGGTACCGGTAGTTTGTAGTCGCCGAGAGTTGTTTGAGCGTGGAGCTAACGGCGTGGAGGGAGGAAAACGACCACGGGTGCCGACATGGAGCAATGGTGCGTCTTCAAACCAAAAGCAAGTGTGCGCTCTTAAAACTCCACGTCGGACGACATATCCAATCATTTAGAAGAGGACTTGTCTAAGTATCGGCTTCATCCCTAAGTCTGTATCGGCTAGAGAGTACCAACGATACCGTTTGAACAGGATACAGTACAATTTGCTACAGTGCGAATCGCCAGCTCGGGATTGGTGCCCGGCGTGCCATCCAAGGCTCGCCATTCAAACGAAAGAACTGAGCTCGAAGGGATGAGAAGGAAAGAGACAACCCTCACCAAGACGAACGGAAGTGGAGTAGTCAACATCGCTGCCATCTCCATCTGAAACTCCTTTTGTTGTTGTGTGGTTGGCTAAAGCTTGGTTTGTTGGTAGTTGATTACTGCTACTTCTCTCTCTTTGTGTAGCGAGCAAATCAATTTCTGCACCATGGTGTCCTCGTCCCAAATACGGCATGTCCTCGTGGCACTGCTGCTCCAACCCTTTGCACTGGCAAGGCCTCAATCGAATATCCGTTCGGAGTTTGTTCGAGCCATGAACGAAGCAACACAACGAACCGAAGAATCGAAACGTCAAACGGCGCTCATGTCACGATTGCTGCAAAAGGCCAAGGTGGTCAAGACGGCCTTTACTACTACCACTGGGGGACAACAACAACAACAACGACCACACAACCATGAGGACCGAAAACTATACGATTACAACTACCAGTATGGCTACTACAACTACCAGTACAATTACAACAACCAAAATGGCAATGGTGACGACAACTACAACTACAACCAGCAGCAAGAACAACAAGTTGGCGATGATTTCTGGGCGGAATATGGAGGTCTCAACCTGACCAACTACGCGCTCAAGTACCTGGGTTGTCAAAACATTCACTCCTTCAGTGACGAAAAGGCAGCCGACAATGATGAAGGAGGCGTCCTCGCCATGAATCGGTTTGTCGTCTTTCGCCTCTGTCCCAAACACACGTGCAGCAACTACAATGAGTACGGCTGCGATTACAACTATGGAGAATACACCTTGCCCATGGATGACTACCTGGCCACCATGCAAACCTACCACATCGAGCAGTACCAAACATACTGTAAAACCTGTGCGTCTTGTATGAGTGGATCGGGAGACTATAACAATGTCAATCGAGAACGAGAACTCAACAATGGAGGAGGTGGTCAGTACTATTACTACAAGAGATACAATGGAGATGGCACTTGGTACTACAACAACTATGGAAATGCCAACAATGATGACAACTACAATGCCAATGATGATCAAGGCAACTATCAGAACTACAATGGAAACTATGATGACTTTTACGCCGCCGCAGATGATGATGGTGGAAACAATAATAACAACTATGCCAACAATGATGATGGTGGAAACAATGCGGCTGCAAATGATGATGGAGGTGGTGGTGGCGGAGGAGACGACGATGGTGGCAATGATGATGCCGGCGCAGCTGCCAATAATGCGACGGCCACCTGTAGCTACGCCGATGTCTGTGCGTCCTACCAACAAGCCTGTGGACCCGAAATGTACAACGATGACAACTATTTATCGCGTGCCGAAGCCTACGCCGAGTACTTTGAATGCACCGAGTTGGACGTGGGTGGAGCCGTGTCCTACCTCGGTCCCCACTGTCGCAGTGATGGGTTCACCATTGGGATTGGCATTTACGAGGACGAGTACTGCAGTTCGTACGTGGGTGATGTCGTTGATCTGCAGCAAGTGACGGGTCTCAAGTACGAGGATGATTACCTCAGTCCGTACTATCCCAAGCAATGCATAAGTTGTACAGCGAGGGTAAGTTGCTTCTATCTATGTTTGTTTGTTCTGCTTGTGTGTGGGCTCGACCGATTCTCATCTGTTTGCCTTTCATTATCCTTTGTTTCAGGAGAGCTACGATTTGGTGACGGATGACGAGATTCAGAATGAAGAGAATGAAGGCCTTTACGAAGTTTGCGGAGTTCTATACGAACAGGCTGCCAAGTGCAACCGATACCTGGGAGAGGATGATACGTACCAGGGACAATTTGAACAGGAAGCCAACGAACAAGATGTCTGCAACTTTGTCGCCAGTCTCGTGGAGAACAACTACGATGAGTACGGAGAAGCCATCCTGGAGAGTCCCGAATGGACGCTGGCCAAGTGGAAGTCCATCAATGCCTACCGTCAAGATCTTGTTAGGACCTCCTCGGGTCAAATCTTGGGCATTGTCTTTAGCGTTGGACTGGTGGCCGCCCTCGCGATCTACGCCATCTACCTACGGTACAAGCTGACCCGCCGTCTGCCTTGGAGCCTTGGATTTGGAAAGAGCAGTGCGGCTGATCAGGCTGGGAAAATCGGACGGGTCAGTTCGGGTATCACCATGCAGAGATCCATGAGTGGCTTGGAACCTCGAGGTTCCTTTGCTTGAGAGTTTTGAGTACATGTACAACAAGAGAAGAACAGACAACCAACCAAAAAGAATCCCAAAAGGGACCTCCTCGTCGTAGACACGTCTTGCACACTTGAATAATAATATTTAGTTGTTTGTTTTTGATCTGTACAGGCTAGATATTGTAGTTTAGCTCTGATTCGTCAGTTGTTTCCGCATTCATTAAACATTGGTGGCACTGAACCAGAGAGGAACCGAAGCGCCGCACTGATCCCATATCTTGCACCAAGGTTGAAGTCAAAGTGCTCTTATCCAAAGCCAACACAGAGAACAGAGCCAATCTGTTCCCCGAGTTCAGCACATGATCTTTTAAGACGTGCTGATCCAACCACCATCATTCTACGTCCCTAGACATCGATGAACCTTTGCAAAAAGAGTGTTCTGGAAGCGGTAAAGATTGCAATGGACTTGACAAGAGTCAGCCAAGCGCCATTCTCTTTGCAACAGCTTACCGGGTATCACCAGGCCAGCCGAACTACGGAAGCAACTGCAGTCTCGCTCTTGATCGTTCATTGCAGGAGAAAAGAAGGAAGCGAAGAGCGCAGCAGCTGACACGATGCATGTCGGTGGAATCTGTGCAAACCGGTAAGCACTTCATGAATGGCAGGCATCAATAATTACGATGACATGCAATGCTTTGAAGACAAAGGACTCGAATGGACTCGACTCGGCAACCATTCTGCGACAGAAGGGCTTGAAAGGTCGAGTTCCATGTCGCCAACCTCCTCGAGGTGCAGAGTTTGGTGGCCACGAACAAACGACTCTCCATGGAAATCGAATGTCATATAGAATGTAGTGCTTGTCGCAAAGAACCCGACTTTCTTCGGTCTTTGAAGTTGTATTACCGTACCGGTAGAGATGAAATGTATGCAAAATACATGATGCAGGAGCCTGAGATCTTGAGAGATCTTGGCAACATAAATCATGATCTAGCTACTAGCTAGTAGTGCTTGTAGCTGCGTGTTTCTGCCGCTCTGCAACTCTCCCTGTACTTTTCCTTGTGCACTACCGGTACTGTACCGGTGAGAGCAAAAGCAAACGGCGAAGCTCAATCGACATCGCAGCATCGCAGCCTCTGTCTGGAATCTCGCTGCTAAAAAGCGACTACTACTAGTAGTCTACCGGTACGGCATTAATACATGTAACATCCAAGAAAGAAAGTTTCAGCGAAAGTTTGAGAGAATCGAATCTAGCTGGATGGGAAGCCAGTCGGTTGCCGCGGACCTTGGAGCAAAGGGGTTGCCGACCTCGAACCAGCTGAAACGACGAAGCAATAAAGAACGGCCGCACCATGTGCTCCTCCTTTTCGATCGATAGGCGAAGCTTCAAGGCTTCAAGGTAAGGTAGGAGTGAAAACCGAGATCATCGATGAGTGAGATCACTGAGATGATACGGGGCGCTACCGGGGACGGGGGCAACCCATTCATTCTTTGCCCTTTAGCTAAGATTCGATTGGATGATTCCATCCTTCGAGTTCCACTGAGCAGCAACACCATCTTTTCAGCTTTGTTTCTACATCATAACAGTCGGATGTTGATGATAAAATTTAGCTAATACTACGCTGCCCATTGACTGGTCCCTGTACTCCCAGCTCCTGCTAGTCCAGAGTAGGGAGATACATTCATGTAGCTGGGGCCTGGCTGAACATAAGCTCGGAGCAAGTGGGTTCTTTTCAAGAAGCTGAACTCATGTTCCACTGAGAGTCAAGCACGACGTGATGATCGATACGTAGATAGATGCAGTAAAATACATAGCTCCTATCCATGAGAGTTGTAATTAACTCTCAGATACCGCATCACCAGATTCCCTTCCACTCTCGCCACTGTACAGCACCAAAGCAAATAATGGGGCGGGTAGTACTGTACGGGTATGGATCTTGGACAACTCTGGCTAGCTATCTACATAGATGCACGAGTGCTGTTGTTTCTGGGCGATCTATCTAGCTAGTACGAGCTCTACTAGTAGTACGGTAGGTACGGTAGCTAGAGCGAGAGATGCAATGCTGATGTTTTTGGTGGCGATGATTCCTGTATTCCTGTTGCTTCTAAAACGAAAAGTTGCCAGCGCAGTTCGTGCTTGGTTGTTTGTTCTTGGCCACCCACTTGATCGCCTTTGATCATTAAAAAAAGATTTGCCGTACGTACCACTCGCCACCATCCCACCGGTACCGGTACCACGTTGCATACTTCCAGTACGAGTAATACCATAAAAGGAGGTCGTTAATTGTGGTTGCCAACTTAACAAGGGTACACGTGTTCTCACAAGCATTAATTAAATCCTATTTCTGATGGATCCGTTTTTAAGTTTGGAGCCAATGAAATAATAGGAATCTTGCTTGGATACAGTTTTTACTGAGTAGCTGAGTACTGGTAGAGCTGAGTGGATCGTATCGATCTTGCCTTGTGCTTGGCTGCTTGGCTAAAGCCCTCGCCATCGCCTCGAAGCCTCGAATTAGGCCTGACAGGCATGTCACCGCTTCAACGGGAACACTGACTTTAAACACTATGTCGTTCACACCCGAAAGCTCTCGGCAACCGGCAGTGAAATAGGTTGGCGAGCATTTCTTACTTATTTCTTTTGTGTTGCTAGAATTAGAGTCTTACATTTGAGAGGAAAAGTAGAAATCGCGATTTAACAAATGTGTCTGAACAGAGATCTTGCAAAAGGTTCCAAGCGATGTTTCGGGATTCTTCTGTTCTCGTGGCTTCGTCACTTCTCACTCAAGCAGCCAAAGACATCAGAGACTTCGCCACCACCACCAGCCCCTCTAATATCTCCGAGCCTCCGAGAGCTCTCACAATTTCATTGAAGTTTGTTCCTGGAAACGCGAGAACAAACACATCCGCCGACATCATTTGTTTTAGAAATCTCATCATAAAACCATCACAATCAACTCATCCACAGTATCAGATAACTTACTTTTTCAATCAAGCAACGCTACCATGTGCCCTTACAAGAAGATTGCCCCTCAAATGACAGAAGACATCATCCCCAGCGAGTTTATCTGTCCTCTCACGTTGCAACTGTTTGAGAATCCTCTCCTGAGTCGCCATGGGATGAACTACGAACGGTCGGCCATTGTGGAATGGTTGGATTTGGGAAATGATACCTGTCCCTTGACCAGACAACCCTTGAAGCTTTCTGGTCTGATCCACAACAAGCATTTGAAAAACAAGATTGAACTGTGGAAGCAAGAGAACGGATGGGAGGAAGAACAAGACCAGCAATGCTTGATCCAACGGTCAGGACTCATGGCCGATGAAATGCTCCATGAGGATAGTGTGACATGCTTTGTTCCGACTGTCGACTCTGCTACTACTTCGACAACAACTACTGCTACCAACAACACCACCACCAACAACAACAATGCTATTGCCAACAGAGCTGCCAACAACGCCACAGCATGCTCGCGACGAAAGGGACGCAAATGGCTTCGTTCTCTGGTAGGACGCAAGCAAAGAGCTGGGCAATAAGCTTATCTCCACTTCCCCAGCGACTTTGCGAGACTTCCTTCCTTCCCTTGTTTATCTTCCACTGTTCACTGCACCATCGGCCTCCTTTAGAAATCAAATCATCCAACAAAACCTTCCTGTCATTTTTAAGAAGTACTTTAGACTACATCTTCTTCCAATCAATTCTTGCCTCGAGCTTGCTTGATGTTGCAATGTACAAGAAGTAGAAATTAGAAAGCACTCTATCTTTTGCGACATGCCCACAATCTACCTGCATCCAAAATGCCTTCATGACTGACAAGCTTCACATTCATGGATGCTGAGGCAACCAACAATCTTGTCCAAGAGTCCCAGTCTTGGTATCGTGGCTGAATCAAGAAAAGGTACTTGGTCTCGGCCATCCTCTTGGGAAATCATGTGCTACAAGGGCTCAATGCCTAGCTAGCAGGCAGTCGCAAGAACCAACTTCAGATACACAGCAAACTGTGGTACCCTGTGTAACTTGTGGGCGACACTGGGGCCTCGCATCCAGTACTTCAGCTGGCATTGGCTCTCAGTCATGGCACTCACATGCTTGATTTATTGGGAGACTGATCCAATAAATGGGCTAAAGAATAATGGAGTGGTCATACAGTATAAGGAGTGCCACCATTCTGAAGCTCGTTCAGCAAGACCAACACAATCAACAGGCAGCTCTTGACCATGGATCAGCGTGACATTGTGTGGTGCAAAAGCCGCGCTGTCCTCTTTGATGCTGATTTCTGCCGCAGCATAGAGAATCCGAGTATGGTTGTGGTTGACTTGGGGTCCCATACACAAGTAACAATGGAGTCGAAATGAGATGCCCCAGACAGCTGCCACAAAACAAACAAAACGCAACTTGCAAGACGAAAATTAAATGTCACGGCACTTCACACGGCAACGTTATTTATTCTAAGGTCAAGGAGTTGAATACACGTAATGATCGTCTATAGTAATCTGATCTAGCTACTAGTTCAAGAACTGCCTCCAGGAGAAACAAGCCTCTCTCAATGCTGGCTATAGTACTGGAACTGCCATCACATGTGAGTCAAAGTAGGGATGGTAGATGGACCATGTGCCACGAAACCCGGGCGAGGAAAAGTCAGATTCAGCTGACCTTTGCGGCCCTCTTTGCAAAGACTTGGCGAATACAATCAAACGATTGTGCGATGAAGCCAAGAGAATGAGGAGAGCCCAAGTTTTGCTTCCCACCAAGTGTTCTGGGTTCCTGCCGTCGTGCGTCTGAGGTCTGAACGTTTGCTCTTCTGACAGCCTGGACCGTGAGTGCCCCATTTCACTGGTGACATATGGTCATGGATGTCGATGTTTATGGCAGGGCACTGTGAACACATGGCATGTGTTTCTCCTAGAATGAAGACAATGCCGCTGCAGTGAGTTTTCGAGCATTGCTGCTGGTGATCAATGGGCTCTCCTTCCTCTTGTCGGCGGCGCAAAGCTATCGAGCTAGGATGTTACCACATGTGTTGAACGAAACGTTCTAATTCCTTTCTAACTGTGTGATCTTGGAAGCCTTCCCGCGGTTGGCATCCCAATTTTGATGATGCGACTGTCAATGCTATGGTGTTTGTGGTGGTCAAAGAGTTGGATTGTGGCCATTGCAGCCTTGGCAGTTGCTCTTGAAGACAATAAATACTATTTACACACACTGATGCTTTTGCCACCCGACTGCATGTGGCAAAGACTGATACGTTTCATAAGATACAGCAAGCCTTCCGTGCTCCACACCAACTACAAGCGCAGTATTGTAGTATTCCTTTTGGTACAGTGAGCGATCTACTACTATATTGACTGCACAGCAGAATATCACAGAATTCGTCTCGAGAGAGTGTATTGTCATGCACACGCAGCGCTATATTTGGGCATTATTCCCATTGCGGATTGTTTGTTTGATGTGTTCTAAAAATGCTGGTCACGGTTGTTGTTGTTTTAGTTTTGGGCATTGTGCTCAAATCCATCAATCTCGGAACCGACAAACCAAGGAGCAAATGGTCAATGCAAATGTCGCGTGCGCTGTAAAGTTGTTTCCCACCATATGAAGCAGCGTGTCGACTGTACAAAAGAGCCCATAGAATAGCATGAGGACCGACAGCAAGACGTACAGCGCAATGGTATGCTCCGTGCCAATAGTGGTATCCATAAAGAAATACTGAAAAGCCGGACCTTGTCCGTGCAGTGTCGTTTGGATGGACCAGGCAAACAGCACATAGGAGCATCCATACAGGACACTGAGACCGGCATGTGAAAAATGCGAGGGTATTCCACCCAAAAGCGCCACTTCCGCCATGGCCATAATGACATTGGCATTGTGTTGCAGCAATGCGCGCGGTGTCATGAATCCTTCCCCGCGTCCCGATTTTTTGATTTGTGCCGGCCACAAGGCATATTTGACCACCGCTCCAATCAACAGCGTCATGGGGGCCGCCACTTCCCATAGCATCAACCCCATTCGCACCATCCAGTCCGGGACATCTTGCTGCTGATCCACTTGATAGGCAATATAGGCATTAAGGGCAAAACTAATCCCCAAAAGATTCCAGGACCAGGATGTGAAGGGAAAGTGCTTTTTCCAACCTGCCAGTTCAAACGTTATGCGAGGAGCTCGGGACTTTGGTCTGTAGGGAGTCGTGACGACGACTCTGCAAATTCCAAACAGGCAGGCTGTTGCGTGAGAAAAACATACAAATGACAGAACAAGAATGCTGCTGGCAAAAATGGCAAAAAATGCTCTGGCACAAATGACACGGCACTGACTTACGGTGGAGTCAACCAAGCAGTGGCAAAACCCACAAAGCAGACAAAAGCAAAAAAGAGTCGAATGGCTATCAATTCTTTCACGGAAAGAATTTCGGGGAAAACCACGTTGGTAAAAATGGTGGCGTCGGGATGTTCTATTTTCGGAAAAAAGTAGAGCGAGGACCCCACCATTCCTGCCACTGTAAGGGCAGCAGAGAGTGGTGGAGGGGCAAAGCTCGTCAAGGGTTTGTCGTCTGTCATGGTTGCTTCTCAGAATTATGGCTCAAGGCAAGTGCTGAGATGATTGCACATACATGGAACCAGTGATGGTGCGATCCAAGAGCGAACATGGTGGGTAAGCATCGAGGTTGGGAGCTCGAAAGGAAGCAAGAACCAGTGTGCATGAAAGGAACGGTCGTCACTCGGAAGCAGTACACGTGTACATTGCCGCAGCGTGGAAAATGGTAAGAACTTCAGTCCCGAGTATGACTGCATGCACTCTTGATCACACACCCAGACCAACTCGAGGGCAAACACCAGGACCTACCGGGTCCATCTCCAGGCCACATACCTTGACTGGCTGCAGCTACCGTAGCACTGACGCTCAAGAATACAGAACAGATTTCAAAGAGTAGGTACTACAGTCGTAGTACCTCACTGGCATACTCTCCAAGTGCAGATCCTTGACAAGTGCAACTAGACATACGCCACATGGGATGGAGATAATGGGGCAACAATAGGAAGCCTGAGTGTAGCATGGAATCTAGGGAATCATGAGACATAACTTAGTGGAGCCTCAGAGAAATAGCTGGTGGCGAGCAGGCGATGAAGTTGAATGGAAGGATGCCAAAGCCTTCATTTGGGAAATGTAACAATGCATGCCTGTTAGATTTGTCATAATGCAGCAAGTGCATGGAACCCTCAGCAGTACAAAGCAGCATACCAGTAACTGCAATATAGCAATCCCCAATCTTTGAACAGAAACAGCAGTCAACAGCATTAGGATGTATTGTCACATAATTCGAACCCATACCCTACATAAACATACTCACTGTTTCAAGTATGAAGACTCTGCGGCGCTGTTGTCATGTGTAGACAGCAACTGGATGAGCAAAGATTGAATCAACCATGGTGCCACCTGATTGTTCCCGGCTCACCTTTGCAACAGCATCAAAAGCACCATATAGATTTTCCAAGAGTTCAAACACTTCCACCGGTGTTTGTTTGCCACTCCAGGCGGTAAAGCCCGCCAAATCCTGCATGGACATGTGATTTGTTAGGACAACAGTGCTATGTGCGATGTTCGCTTTGACATGATTCTTCAAACATAATGCACCGTGAAGAAGACTGTGGTGTTGTCAAAGAGATCCGCAATGGGCTTGCTACTGTTGATTGAAGCTTTGTCGGCAGATTCTGGCAATGTCATGAACTCTTTGACTGTATTTTGCTTCTTCTGTTCTTGTGTTTGTTCGTCATATAGCTGCTGCTTCACCTTTTCGGGAATAGGGAAGAAACAATGGCTCCAGAGGCCAGAGCTCTTTGCATGACAATGTGCTGTCATCTTGCCACAGTGCAGTCGTAGCTGATGAAAACCAGGGATGTAAAGACAAAGATACATGCAGCCAATGTTGTGAAGATCGCCGGCCCACTGGTGATATTCATCTTCAAAATCTTGTGAGGGATAGACGCTGGGTGTCATAACACAATATGTTTTGGGCTGTAGCAGGAGAAAAGGAGAGTGAGAGGCGTTGCATCCATCAACATGGTGAGCGGCCTCTTGCACTTGCCATGGGAAGCCCCGAGTAGCTGCTTCCTTCTGTAGACTGCCTGGTGCCATACATAATATCATAGAGTGTCTTGGATGTGCCCAGGTAGTTATATTTGGGGTCATGAAGGTCCCCACCACCCAGATACGTAGTCTTGGGACCATCCAGGCGATAGGTAAACGCTCTTCCACACGAGCTGGAAAACACCACCACCACCCCATTGGTTCCTTCTGGCAAAATGTTTTGGATGTAGCTTTTCCACATGTAGGAGTACCAAAAGGATCCACGGGAAGCGTGATCGATGGACCTGTCCAACCGCATTGAGTTGAGGGAATCTGCAGCATCAAAGCTGCCGAATATGTCATGCAATTACGTTAGGATACATCGGGACTGGCAAGCAAGAGAATTAGGACGAAAGGTTCACTTACATTGGGTAGGTACTGTACCCGGTTGGTTCGGTGGGATCTTCGTCGGGACCAAGGAACTGAGAGTAATAGATGGCCGCCCATTAACCAAACTTCCCACAAAAGAATCGGTTGCTAGCTAGATGGTGTCTAGTGACTACGGTACCGGCGTAGGACGGAACTATGGGTTTATACGCAAATGTTATAGACTTGCTATTGTGTTGCTACCGTGTCCTATCCTGTCTGTTCCCACCCTTCGTTTAGTTGTTAGCCTTTCTATCTATGCCACCCAAGGCGCTTTGCTCGACTGTAGCCCTGTGTTTGTCGTTTGTTTGCGCGTCTTTGGGGTCTCGCTGCTTGTGGGTTTTCTAAAGAAGGAAACACTGATTCGAAATGCTACAATTCGTCGGCTCCACAATGGCATTCGTTGTCGTCTTGCTCTTTTCTACGTCGAGGCAGCAACTTGTTCAATCCCTTGCGTTGTGGCAGTGAGTCGCAGTCACATTCCTTCTTTAGTTCTTCTGTTTCGTCCTCTTCACTTTGTTCACTAGGCGTCAGCCCATTACGCGTCCAAGTGCATCCATCCATGGCCAGGTTGTGAGCGGGCTTCAACCATTTCTCGTGCTGTTCCGGAAGCGCCAAAGCTTCCACCGAGCCACAGACACGATCCACGGCCGACACCGCCAAGGGATGAGCTTTTTCCACAAGAGCAGTGAAATGAGGCTGGGCCTTTTCCACGGCGTATTCCACATGTGGCTGGACGTGTTCCACAACCATTTGCACATGAGGTTGGACCCGTTCCCAGACCGGATCGACATGGGGCCGCGCCTTTTCCACCATTGGTTCGACATGAGTTTGCCACAGCTGTTCTGTTTGCTCGGGGTAGTGTTCATTGCCATAGTGGAGCGTTACGGCACACAGGAGAGGGACGACCACCATCACCATCAAGAGTGTACAGAGCCCACTGCCGCGCGACATTTTCGGTTCCAGTCCTCGGCGACGCTGAATTTCATTGTAATAATTTTTGTTGAATGGTTTGACGGCGCTTTTGCCCTTTTTCTCTTCGGGGACGATATGGTAATGTTGGATGGTTGGCTTGTGCGTATTGAGCATGGTCTTGCTTCCACGGAAGATTGCTGGGGCTGGTGTTGACTTGTTGGGAAGAGGCTGTTCGGCAACCACATGAGACGTCGAGGAGCTTCCTCCGAAGAACCAGGACGACTTTTTGGCTTGAGTTTTGCTAGCAGGCTTGGCGGCGGTGGTGCCATCGTCCCATTCCCCTTTTTGAAAGAACCATTTCTTGGCTGGCTTGGCTGTAGGAACTTCTCCCGAGTACCAGTGACTACCCTTTCGTCGCTTCAACTTGTCCTTGGCTTTGGCAAACTCATCCGGCAATTCAAATTTGGCCGATTTCCCGTCCTTGACAACGGTTGTCGTCTTTTGCAACTTGACCTCTGGCAGCGAGGCTCTGTGAACGGTAGGGTCCTTGACTATGGTTTCTGTCTTTTGGAGCTTGACCGTTTCCAAGATTTTGGCCGAATACTTTTTGTTTTTGTCGTCGTCTTTTGTTGGTTTCGGCTCTTGTGTCTTTTTCAGCTTGAGGGAAGCATACGGGGCAACCGTCGTCTGATCTGTCTTGTCCACAGGAGCCGCTGCTCGCACATCCTCCCCCTTTTTGAGTTTCTCGCCCAGACCCGTCGATTTGGTCACCGACTTGTACATGTCTCCCAATTTGTCATTGGGATCTTGAGCAGCAACGTGATCACGTGGGACATCACAGCCCTCTTTGAGTTTTTCGGCAAATCCCGTGGCCTTGAATTTGGTGGACTGAGACTTGTAGACGTCGGCCAAGCTGTCGTTGGGATCCACCGGTTGCGCAATATGATCACGTGGCACTGCGGCTCCCTGTTTGATTTTGTCGCCATAGCCCGTGGCCTTGAGTTGTTTGCTAATGTAGGCTGGCTGATGGGGCTTCTTGTCGGCATCGGTACTAGCTCCTGGATCCACACCGGCTTGAATCAAATCGCCTTGTTGGGTCGGGTTGAGCGATTCTTTCGAGTAGGACGTTCGCTTGGACTTCTGGACAGTAGTCTTTTGCTTGGTGGATTCTGTCGTCGAGTCGCTGGAAGACGGTTCTCCACTGGGTTGAGCATTTGTCGCAGCCTCGGGAAGGGTCTTCAATGCTCGATCATCCCTCTTCTTGTCCACAACTGGAGTGGGCGGAGGGGCTTCCACGACGGGTTCTTCTGGTTCGCTGTCATCGCTCTCTGGCTTTTCATCGTCGGAAGTCAGAGTCCGATTCTCCGCTGGAGGGTCCATTCCTCGAGTCTTTGTCGCCATGGTTACACTATAATACTAGCTAGCTAGTAATTGATCTACAAGTGTACAAACTGACAGGATGATGTCAAGAGCTTCTCGAAAGAAGAAATTCGTTGGTTAAAAAAATCACCAACTGACGAAAATAATGAGGCAAAGTGGAAGGTCCCACGACGCAAAGAGGAAAAAGATCCTCGTTGTTGAACCACGGTCTGCCACGTAGCCACGGTGCGCACCTTTGTTCCGAATTGCCCTCCAAGCATTTCGGTCTGTCCGTCTGGCAGGGTCGAGAAGCTGCAAGCTTTCCACGGTCTGGAAATTGGATCTTTGGGTGCCCAACAATGATAAAGATGGCTTGTTGTGGGCGTTGAGCGAGCAATGCTTGGGTAGCTTGTTGGGTCGTAACAGTGTAGATGAGGCAGAAATTCTTGTTTTGTCAGTAAGGAAAGCAGCGTTGAAAATGGCGAGTGGCAATCGCATCGGTGGCTCTTATCCTTATGGAGAGTAGCCAGATGGACAGCAGGTTAGTCTCATGGTACCAGTACCGACGGCCCAGGAGGAGAATTGGCTGGGGGGAGAAGGCACAGGAGGGAGGCGGCCGGTGCTTACGGTGATCTGCTTCTCGGTTTGCACAGTAGGTTGGGCTCTAAAAACGTTGAATTCCTAAATCCGCGCTAGTTGTGGCTCGACAGTCTACCAGCCCCGGTCCTCTTTGTCGACAGTTGCTTTGAAATCGTTTCATGGGAGTGTCTCCTCGCACCACTGGTGAATCTGCATTTGCTAACATGGCTGACTGGCCATTGAGACATAGGATTCCTGGCTGCCTTCTGAAGACAGCCTGGATTTTTATATAAGTGAAGGAGTTTTGAGACATCCAGCCATACCCCCATTGCCGGCTTCCGTAGACTAATCCCCTGCCCTGGCCAGCTAGAGTTGACCCTCTATGCATATGAATGTCTTCTACCTTACGTACTGTCACTACTAGCTAGCTAGCGGTGGGACATGCAAGATCAGAATAGTGTGTGTGCCGGTGTGACTGAGCCTCAACAGCAAAAGTAGGCGCATTGTATGTGGTATCCTCGTCATAGACCCTGAACCTTGTCCCCAATTTCACCTCTTTTTCCCCTACAAGAAGCCCCCCACGGACGGCGTACCTGGTACTTCCCTGCAATGGACCCTTGTAACTCCCCTAATCTACTAGAGCTAGCTAGCTAGCTAGCTAGCTAGCTAGACCCCCATATAAATTTTAATCTGGACAGCCAGTACTAGTAGTCTATCTGGTAAACTATAATAATAATAGTCTAGCTATCACGGTACCACAGGTAGACCCCCCTAATCACACAGGCGGAGTAGTGTCTTTTGGGCTCGCCCGCTTGCGGGAATTGTCCAATTCCACAAGATGGCAACTCTGGTGGCCGATTTTTCGATCCCAGATTTTTCATCCCACCGTCCATGCCACTACTTCGGACCCAAGAGTACCTTGAAATCCTTCAATCGTTGCCAAAATATGCACTCCATTGTCGAGAAAGGTATAAATGGTAGACTACCAACCCCGGTGGCAAATTCAACACAGGTTTTATGTGCACCATCAAAGCGTTCTTGACGATCCCCTTCACTCTGCATTGGTTCCAGCGACACTCCGAGGAAGTCTCCAAAGCAAAAGTATCTCTCCGGCTCTGATTTTATACAATGGAGGATCGCGACGATGATGATAATGAATCAGCGGTGCGGGCCTTGAATACAGCAATGACCAAGCAAGAACAGAGCCTGAAGATATTCAAAGACGACCCCTTGATGGTCAACCGGCCGTTTGATGAAATTCCTGCTTCGCGGAACTCCAGTGCTGCCCCATCTGATGAAACAACCACCTTTCTTGGAATTGTTTCACGATCAGACTCGAACACATCGGATGTCCTTGGTGCGGCGGGTGTTACCAATGATTCTCCGGCTGCCTTTGTCAGAGCAGGCGACATCGACGGAGAAGATGATGGAATCCAGGATGAAATGAAGAATCTTGTAGTATCTGAGAATCTATTGCGCAAGGAGATGGAGCGTGCCACTCGAGTTGCATCCAGGAGCTCCATAGAACAGCTGTCATCAGACCTACTAGCAGCTACTGAGATAATATGTAACCAGGTTGCCGGTAACGACAGCCCATCCATCGAGGAGATTCGTGCTCACGTGACAAAAGAGCAATCCAAAGGAGACGAAGTTGGTAGTTGCAACACAGTTCACAACATGCATGATCTTGCGTTTGTGGACGACATTATGGAGACTGTCATGGATACGGTGCTGGGGTGCAAGGGAGATGATGACCAGAAAATACCTACCCAATATGCGCGAAGGCGCACAACAACTGCGACTAGCAAGGCAGCAAAAGAGGATCTTGAAAAGTCGCCTGTTTTGGGTGCTTCGACTCCACAAGCGCTACTGTCAACACGCTCTGCACCGGCTCGGAACGGCACCCAAATGACGTCTTCAGGTTCGCGAGATGCGCCATCCATGGCGTACAGGTCATCCTCAATGGCATTGACTGACAAGGAGAAGGCTTTCGTAGTTAGGGAATTGCGCAATGCACGGTCCATCGCCACCAAGCAGAAAAAAGAGCGTGATCCGAAGCTATCTGGCCACGCCATTGGCGAAGGGAATCACAGGGGGCAGGGAAAGAGGAAAGTCATTGAAAATCGCAATGATAGCCAGAAGATGAGCTCAGCAGACGAACGAGCCAAAAGGCCATCCTTGATGGAAAGGATGAAATCTTTCTCATCTCAGAGAAAATCAGTTCCCAGTGAGGAAGAGCCTAGGAAAGACGTAACAGTGTGTGTCACCGTTGGAGAATCTTCCGTTCTGACTCCCGTTGAAGTAGAAGTGGAAGACATTGAGAAGCCCCGAAGCAAACCATCTTTGCTTGAGCAGCCTCGAAGCAAACGATCTTTGATGGAGCGGGCAAGATTGTTGTCTAAGCAATGGAGTAGCGTGGGCGGAAAGGTCTTTGGGGAGATCACGAAAAGGAAGGAAGAACCACCTCGCAGTACTACCAGCACCGAGGCGGCAGTCCACCCTGAAATTGATCAGGAGGCACCAGCGCCTCTTTCTGACGTCTACGTGATTGAAGAGCATGGCCATGAAGTAGAGGCTTTTTACCAAGCTGACACTCGTGTGTCCGTGCTGGAGCGCGACACGTTTCCAGAGCAACATCGAGAATGGAAAAATGAACTCTTCAAGAAAGGGTGGCTTGGCATGAGGCTGATCTACTGGGTGATGCTTCTGCTGCTCGCGATAAACTTGCTCCTTCTTGGAGTTATTCTCCTTGTGACAGATGATTCAGTCGAAAAAAGTTCTAGCCAGAGCATCCAAACAACAAATCCCCCCACAACCGTCAGTCCTAGCATTGAAATCAACTTGCCACTTCCAGTTCACACCATTGAAGCATTGAGGAATCCATCATCCCCACAGTCAAAAGCCTACGAGTGGCTTATTAAGGACCCCGCTTACTTTCAATACTCAAATGACCGAAAACTCCAAAGGATGGCACTGGCGACATTATATTACTCCACAAATGGTCCCAATTGGACGTTTGCCAATTCTATGCTGACATACGATTCCGACGAGTGCCAGTGGTTCTACAACCGAGCTGCACGTGCATCTCCAGCTGCATGTGGCATTGCCGGAGGGCTAATTGAATCCTTGATGCTGGATCAAAATAACTTGGAAGGGAAGCTGCCACCAGAGCTATGGTTGATGACAAGCTTGAAGTTTCTGAGCTTGGCAAACAATCAATTGACGTCAACTATTCCCAGCGAAGGCCTGGAAAAGCTGACGGATCTTCAATTCTTCGGGGTTACCAAGAGCGGGCTATCTGGACCCATTCCACCAAGCATTGGCTACTTGTCAAACTTAGAGGTGAGTTGACCTTCAGAACTTGATCCACTGTGCAAATTTTAGTTGCCCTAACCATCAATTATGCAGCTCTTGGACCTTTCAGCAAATCGATTCACGAGCACAATCCCCATCACATTTCGCAACCTGTCCAAACTCCGTGAGCTCCGTCTTCATAAGAACGGCTTGAACGGAACTCTCCCCGACGGAGTTCTTTTCGGTCTCTCCAATCTGCAACAGATGTATCTATTTGAGAACCAGCTCTCAGGATCCATTCCTTCCTCGATCAAGCATATGCACTCTGTCGAAGACTTGTTTCTGTACAATAATCGGTTCAGCTCATCGCTCCCAACCGATCTTGGCCATCTTACGCGGCTTCAGCGACTTTGGCTTGATCGAAATCGATTCACGGGTCAGATTCCCAAGCAACTCGGAAACTTGCACATGTTGATGCAGCTCAGCTTGTTTTCGAACGAGTTATCCGGCACCATACCCCGCGCCTTGAGCAATGCCAGATCACTGCAACAGGTTCGATTGGAGGACAACCTACTGACAGGCCAAGTTCCAGATCGAGTGTGTGATTGGTTTTCCCGAGAAGGCGATGACAACGATCTTGATATTGAAAAGATCCTATCGGTTGATTGCATTGAAGTTTCCTGCAATTGTAACTGCAATTGTCCGCGACCGGGATCCGAAGGCTTCCTCCATTCTCCATGAAGAGTTGGGAGGTCCTCTTACGTGCTACTAGCTAGGGAAGGCACAAACTCTCCTTGCAAACCTTCGAGACTTTTGCAGGGAATATTACATCTATCTATAGAGAACGCAGCAAAAGTATATAGAGATCGACAGTTACTTGAGAATCCACAAAGACAGCTCTCTGCTCTGGGACGCGGACTACCGGTACCGCAACAAACAGGCCACGTGTTGACGACCTTGTGTTTGTTGGCTGGTCACCCAGACCATCATACCATCCTCTGCTGTTTCTACTACGGTAGCTAGCTTGTCGTTACACAACTTTAGGTAAGCCATGTTAAGGACATGAACCCAACTCATCATTGCCTAAGTGTAAAGCCATAGTACCATGGTAAGGTAGAAATCTTCCAAAGAGGAAACTCCCCAAGCGACTTGAGCGGCTTTTCCCTATGAATTCCAGTCCATCCACAAGCCCCGACGAGAAAGTTAATAGGTATGGACTCCTTCAATTCAAGTCTAGCTAGTCAGTTCGTTTGTAGATGATCAAAAAATCTCCCTGTGTAGTTTTGTCGATTCGCAAATCACCATCATTGTAGACAATGGAAAAGCCCCCCAAAGGCAACCCTGTGGGTGACTGAAGAGCTGGAACGCCCCCAAAACGAGTTCCTTCGATACGAGTTCCTTTCAACTGAAGATCTACCTTGTTCATGGACCCAACCTCATAGTCAAATGTGACGGCTTGTTCCAGGCGATCTTCTTGAACATCCGACAAGAAGGAGCTGGTCAGCTGGACAATGTTGCTGGAGGGTTTGTAGGTCAGCACAAGCTCCAATTGCGTGGAGCTCTTGACTAGTTGTTGAATGGATATAAGTTGACTCAGTGGTCCTCCTCGGAATCCCAGCAAGTCGGGGGCTTCCGTGTAGAGCAGCGTCCACCGTGACGGTTTGTCGAGTGGAAGGACATAACCAGACAAATCTTCTGCTAAGGAACTAATCTTGGATTTTTCGCTCGAGCCATCATCTCCGCTTCTCAAGGAAAAGGTGGCAAATCGTGGTACATCATCGACACGGCTATCGTAGCCTATGGCTTCGAGGAGCTGAGCCTTGGGACCGTCCACTTCCAAGAACTCGTCATCGTTGTACGATGATGCCAACTTGATCGATCGGGGACATCGCGGTTGTAGACCTGACAGCTGGAAGGCATCTGTAACTGAACTAATAGTGGCTACTGTCCAGAGCAGGATCAAGATGTAGACGGTACCTTGGGGCATACTTATACAGTTTATCGACATATTATAATGGTTGTGGTGTGGTGTGGTGTTGTGGCAGCGGTGGGTGTTGATCTTCCTTCTTCCTTGGATCTTTGGATCTTTGCTTGGAAACAGCTTTGCTGGCTTGAACGGAAAAGTCAGGTCTCGCTGATGACAAAACCGAAACCTCCATCATGGAAGCTATCATGGATCAGACTACTTTGATTGAAAAAATCATTGCTATAGCAGGCGTGAACAACTTTTACTGGTGCCCAACTCCACAGGGAACCAACCGCTTAGCTGGCAAGGAAAGAAAGGATACATGCTTGGTTCAAGAGTGGCACTCTCCATCAGTCCTTGGTACCCTCCGCTACCTGGCTACCCACTCTCGTCCTGATATTGCCAATGCTATTGCTCAGGTTTCCTCTACCGGTATCACTCATGAACCAAAAGACGTCCATGTCACATCTGTCAAGAGAATCGTTTGTTACCTTTCTTGTAGTCGAATTGCAGGAGCTTCTGCTAGCTTGGCAGTGATTTCTGTTGCCTGCAAGGGGTACAGTTATCTGAACAGACAAATTTATGTTGTGCATGGAGATGATAGTGTTATAATCGCGATGGAACAAAGACAGACAAAAAACGTTGGATCCCATCCCTTCATGTTTCGGATCAACCTGTACCTACTATCAATCACTCACACTTTCAGTCTCTCTGGCTGCGGCTCAAAGCTCCCCTCCTGTATGATAGGAAGCTCCTGTCCAGGTTCCATGTAATGGGTGACAAGATCCACAAGATAAGCTTTGCTTTTGTGACCGATTTCCGTCCCACAATCCCTCAGCCAGCGAAGGCAGTGATTTTTGGTCCACCTAGAATTGGGTTTGCCTTCTTCAGGTACATCAACATCATCCAGACCGTCGAGCTCTATCAGCTCCAATGGATGCAATCACGTGCACATTACCGGAAGACAATGATTGCCCAGTACATATCGAGACTGAAGTATCAACTCATAGTCACCATTGCCTCCCACCAGCCTGCTGGTGTGGGTTTGTCAGCAACTTTCCTACGATAGATCCATGTTGCATTTTCCAGAGTCACACATGGAGACAACATTCGTTTGCTCCTTGTTGGCAGAATAGAGGCAGACAAGTGGCGTTCTGAATATCATAGACCTCACAAGCCTGACCCGTTAGTGGTTACCGAGCCCAAACAAATACATCTATAGCTGTCTTTTGAACACTGTAGACTACATGCCATGATGTGAAGAAGCTACTTGATACAGCAATAGCATAGCATTGTTCTACAGATTAGACTGCCCCCACAATTGATTGTCCACCATGCTCAAAATAGCAGCCTGTGAAATAATGAAATTAGAAACCCTTCTTTCTATTCTAGCCGCTAGAAAGTTAACTGGGCAAAAGCTTTGTTGGAGCAGCAGTACACTGGGGGAGGGGCATACTACAGACTGCTTTTCACTATCTTCCTGATTGAAGTATTCGTTTGCAGGAGCTGGACTTGCTTCTCAATCCCCCAAAACGGCAGCATGTACCGGTATGTCTGGATATCTGGATGCCTAGATGGGTCCACCCTACCTCAAGTATCATACAAAACCTCATAGGAACTTGCCAGTTTCAAGTCATCACTGTGATAACTCCTCCAAAGCATGGCCATTGTCTTGCTACCAGAAATGCCACAAAGTGCATTGCCCCACCAATAGATGGTAAAGTTATTCATGTGTTTGTACCAGTGATGTTCCAGGTGCAAGGGAATGAGCCATTGTGGTCCAAGAAGGTAGCACTCATAACCAACAGACGTCATGTACTTGACACTTCCCCACAAGAAGTCGTTCCTGGACACTTCAAAAATGACAAACTCAATTCGTTTCTGCTCTAGCAAGTTCTTGGACCCCAACAACACATTGTAGTCATGACCCTCTGTGTCAATCTTCAGAGCAAATATTCCTTTGCCTTTGGTGGTCTCATTGGTGTTGACAGGCCCTAGCTTGCCTAGCGCCTCCAGCGAGTCCATGAGTAGATCCAGTGTGTACGTCGGGACAACGCTTTGTCGTTTGTAATCCACAGATTGGTTCTTGTAACTGTCAGCAGACAGGCGACACTTGGTCACATTGGACCACTCTTGCCGTGTCATGAGACCAAACTCAGTAAAGTTCGAGTCGACGATTCGGCCTCCTTCATTGCCTGGATCCTGAAAGACGAGATTGCCTGTTTGTTTGGATAAGGCAACGTTGAGCAAATGAACTCGCTGCAGGTCCTTGTGTGGCGGCGGTTGCTTCCTTATGGCCTCTGTCATTTCGCAAAACACCTTGGGCGATGGTTCAATGCTGAGCAAGAGCAGTGGCGTACCCCATCGCCAACACATGCCCCGAACGGGTTGAAAGGTTCCGAGGATGGACTGAGCATCATCGCCACTGTTGGCACCCACATCCACAATAATTTGTCGTCTTTGACCTTGCGATAACCGGTCTTTTCCCACGATGGAGTTCCACGATAGCCGATCCATGATTGCTTTGAGATAGGGCGCCACAAACTGCAGATCATTGCAACCCAAATTCCAATTGTTGAAATGGACCTCTCGTTCAACGAATTCAGTGTACATGTATCGCAGTTGTTCTCTTGTGTATACAATCATGGTGGGCGGAATGATGGCGTGTGACTCGGATGGCGGCAAGTCGTCGCCATGGCTGCCTCCATCATCCGTTGGTTTCTCATTGACGGTTCCGAATCCACCCAAAGTGATCCAATCCAATACGCCTGCGGTAGCATTGGAAATGATCGCGTTTTCCCCTCGCAATTCAAGGGACCTGCTGAAACCAAGAGATGGGATGAACTCGGGTAAATATCGACTAGCGCTGTTCAGACCAATGGCTGCCAACAGAAATCCAACAATCAGGCCAACCGCTACTTGTTGACGACGTTGCCTTGTCGGCCCAACAGAGGCAGCTGTCCGTGATGGTAACCACATTGTATTATTGGATGCAATGATATCTAAATAGCAAAGCAATTCAGAGCTGTGCTGTCCTTTTGGCGTCCAAATATCGCTTCAACTGAACGAAGGGTGCCAAGATGAGAAAAGGTGCGCCATGTTCAAATTGTGAGCAGCTTCGGGTTGAGCACGACGCCCTGAGCCGAACTCCTCAGCCCACCCTTTGTAGCAAGATTTACGGTTGTTGGGGGCAAAACCAAAGGAGCAGGCTCTTGCTTGAGATTGCAGTGCCGCTAATTGGAATGAAGAAAACACCTCACCGATTGGTTTCCGGCTCCGGCCATTGGCAGCTCGAACCACATCCAGCGCCACCATCAAGGCAAAGGGCAAGGGAGGCTATCTCCATTCTGTGTTCACTCAGAAGTGCGTCTTGCTGAGCGTGCTCTTGGAGGAACGAATTTGTCGTCCTGTTTAAGAAAAGCGACGAACCTACACTTCAGGGGGAAATGTCAACATACATCTATGGATAGGTTCAGACTTGACATTCCGGTGGGGCATAACCAGAGCAAGACTCGATGGCTTCCGTAGATAATCCTCCTATTCAAAACCCCCGTCATAGGCGCAGGTATTCCCACAATCGAGTCTGCTCACCAGCCATACTGGCCTGCTGAGAGGGTGTGACGCCAACATTCTATGAATAGACTGGCCCCACGCTAGCTTCGAGCCACAGCTGCGTCAAAGCTCACCTTGCGGCACCGTATGGTCAGACAAGGTTTGTACCGCTATTCGATGCTTACTCAATCGTTCTTCTTCGTGAGCCCCACTTCTACTATACCCCTTTCCTCGCAGTTTCTTGCAATGCGAATGACACACAATCAGAATCCTCCATCGCCAAGCAACCAAGAACAGGAGAGATAGCTTCCCTCCCTACATGTACTGCTAGCTAGCCAGAGCAGTCCCCTCAATCTTTCATTGACATCTTCCCTGAAATGACTTGCTTTGAGTATTTATACAACACTTCTTGTCACGAAAGTGGAGTCCAATTGGTCTAGAGGTATGATTCCTGCTTCGGGCTGTATAGAGGTTAACCTTAACCCTACACGAGAATTTGCAGGAGGTCCCGGGTTCGATTCCCGGATTGGACCCTCTTTTGCTGTAAACTGTTGTGTTTTGTTGTCTGGTTGTTGTTGTTGTTGTTGTTGTTGTTGTCAGCAGCATGGTGATGATGTTGTTGATGTTGTGGAGGGGATTTTTTGTTGTTGGTGGCGGTTGGAGGGAACCACAGAAAAAAAGTGGCCGCAGAGGTGCGGGCGTTGGCGGCAGAGGTGCGTGGGGCGTTTTCGCCAGACCGTAACACGACTCGATTCGATGCTGTCACTCGCACCACAAAACTTTTAAGAGACGACCACCACCACCATCACAACATCACAACGTTATGTCTTCGAGGTTCCACTATCCCCGCGGCTGCTACAACTGAGCTCCCGGCATTGGGATGATCGTGACGCCCTACCGGTAGCCCTCTATTGTTTCTCTTTTCTTCCCCCATGCACATCTCCTCCCTTCGGTTGGTCCCCCTCCGTCATTGGTTCCCTGCCTCACCCTTTCTCACAGTGCGACAATAATCGATCCTCAGAGCCAGTAGGAAGTGTAGAGGAAGCCACCGACCTAGCCACATTCGCGCCACCACGTTGTTGTTTCTGATATGTTCTCCCAATTGTGCTGCCAATTCAATGATCTTGCCCGCATACCGGTACGTGTAGAAATGGCTGCCGTGTGCCTCAACAAAGATGGGAGGACCTCCATCCATGCTGTATGTTGCATATTATTTTGATCCGTGCTACTACAAGAAACCACACAGACCATTGTAAAAGAGTGTTTATTGGGCAAAACTGGCCCGCAACAAGTATCCCCTCTACCAGGTATCTAGTTAGATTTGACAAAGTTTCAGATACTGAGGGGAAAAGTTCGCTCGCTTTATTTTAAAACTCTATGTATGTATTGAATTGTCCCATTCAGCCACCGTCTATCTCACCGATGTGCTTGACTTTGTTTGAAAGAATGCCTTCTTAGCTGGGCAACCAGTTTTTTAAAATGAACCTACCAAACGCTTGCCATGCTGACATCGTTGGTAGCCAGGATATCGAACACACAATCCTTTTGCTCCTCGGGGTCTTTCACATGTGCACATGCCTTCTCAGCAATCTCAGTTGTAATTCCAGACTCGGCCAAGCGTCGGTTTCGGATCTGTTGCTTCTGGGCACTCTCAACAGTTGGCGGAAGGACACACTGGCGTCCTACAACGGCACCGTCATAAGAATGGAACAGCTTGGGCTCGCTATCAAGAACTTGCCACTCTTGGCCAAAGGCGTTGAAGTCTGCAATGAAGGTCTTGTCATCTCTACCAAGTCTCTTGCCATTTTGGGCATGGCTTCCAAGAAGACCACGAGAGTAGTCGTAGTTGTCACTGTTCTTCCAATCGACGTCAACTCGGACAAAGGACTTGAATGTCTTCATGGCCAACACTTCCTTGGAGGAACCTTGGTTCAAATAGATGTTGACTTCTCGAGTAGTACTTTTCTTCCCGAAAGACTGCTTGAAACGAACCAAAAGCCCGTTAAGGCTGGCATGGTACCACTTGCCATCCTCGAGAACACCGTTGGCTTTACCATTGATCCACACCCATTCCCGATCCTTGTCATCAGGGCCAGCTTGAATCTCCACGACGTCATCTCCAATCTTGATGGCAGCAGATTCAACAGAGCTCCAGAAATCCTGGATCTTGGTCCGAATGTGAATATCCATTCCCAACCCCTGCTTGAAGGATGGGTTATGGAGGAGCACTAGATCACATTCACCATGATAGTCGTAAAGCTCTCCACCAAAGGTCTGTTGACGTCAGGGAGAGGGGCCGTTAGAAGGAGCGGGAAGGCCAAAAAGACAATGAATGATCCTCGACAGCGTACCTTGAAGTGTGGATCACCCTTGACAAAGCCCATCTCGGTTGCCTGGTCCTCTGGGGTTGGTTGGTCTGTACATCATGCCAAGCAATGAGCAAAAGCAACAGGTCAGAAGGAGAGAGAGCACCAGCGAGAGATTCACTCCAAACTGCTTACCTGGAGCAGGGGGGTTCACGGGGGTAGGAGCAGGAGCAGGCTTGGGTATTGTTGGAGATGGTGCGCTAGGAACCGTCTTGTCCTGTCCGTTGCAATGATCCGCATTGTCTGAATCATCCTCTCCTTCATCAGGAACAGTCTCTTCGCCATTAAGATCCTCTTCGTCCTTCAGCGTCTCCCCACCAGTTGCAGCGTCCTTGCTCACAACAGTATCCACCATACAGGCCATATTGTCTCCGCATTCTGCTTTCACCTCCTCGCCAGCGTTTTTGACTGCCTGTTCAATCGTATCATCATAGGGTTTTTCACAGGTATCGCCACTTCCACTAACTTTGAAAAGGGAGTCGCTTCCAAGACACCACGTGGTTGTGCAGTAGTCGTAGATCTGTCCCCAGTAAATCTTGCCAACGGTTTCCAAGTCTGTTCCATCGTGGTCCATGAAGTCGTTCTGCTTGTTGCCATCAGGGCTTCCAAAAATGCCGACCAGGCGCTGCGATTTGATTTCGTCTGGAAGGCAGAGCTTCACATTGATGAAACAGCCAAAGACATGGTTGTACCTCAGGGTGACGTGGAAACTGACACCAGAATCTTGAAAGTGAAAGTAGCGATCAGAGCCGGAACGGAAGAAGTTGACCTTGTCTGTCCCCAACGCAATGGTACCATCTGTCGACCAATCCGAGTCAAGATCATGCTCCTCGTCATCGATGTAGTAGTGAAGGTCGCATTTTTCGTTGTACGCAACCTCGACCTTCGGTTCACCGGCGAAACCGGTCGTCAATACTGCTCCAGTTGTGGTGGTTCCAGCCCAGCCGTCAAGCTTGAAGAAACGGCCCTGAAGTTCAAAGCCAGAGCCAGGTTCCAAGGACTTGGACAGGATGAAGTCGCCATCGCCTTGACAATCGTACTGCAGCTGATCAAAGGTCTCAATGTGAGGATCGTCGTAGGCCTTGGCGCAAGTCTGAGGGAGAGGGGGGGCCTTGGGTAGTTTGGTACACAACATGAAATCGGGACGTCCTTTAAGCTCGCGACGTCCATTCACCTCTTCGAGACGGCGGCGGGAGTTCCCGGGAGCACAGTAGCTGTTATCGCTGACGGCCCATGCCCAGTTTTGACATCCACCAGTCATACCTCTACAAGCCATTGCAAGGACAGGACAAATGGTCAGAGGTGAGCTACAGCGAAGTCCTTTTAAAAAAGTAACGACATGAGATAGTACAAAGATCAAAGTCTTACCCGAGAGGCTTGTTCGAGGGGTCAAGGGGCTGAGAGCCTCCACAGAATGGATCCCAAACAAGACCCGGTACTACTTGCTCCCATCTGGAGGGAGCCGCAGAGCCTGTGCAGAAGCAGTATGCAGAGCAGTCGGTGGGATCGGGATAGTAGCCCGCTGGGAGGTCACATGTGAAGGCGCAAGAGCGGCCAGTACAGCCTGCTGGTCTTCCACAAACGCCTCCTTTGTCTTCCTTGACTTCTTCCTTGACTTCTACCGCGACTTCCTTGCTTTCTTCCTCCTTGATTTCTATCTTTTCGTCTTTCTCTTCTTTCGGTTTGCAGACGTCACAATGATCTTCGACATCAATGTAGACACTGCTTCCTCGGACGGGAACCTCTCCGTATTGAACACCAGTGTGCTTCTGGGAGTAGTGGCACCATTCGCTCTTGCTGGCGAGAACACGGTCCTTAGCTTTGCAAAATGCGTCGGCCTCGGCATGGTTGGTCACACTCAGCAAGTCATCGCCAGCAAAAAACATGAGCTTGGGCGAACTGGAAGAGTGTAACTCTTGCGCGTAGGCAGAGGCCACAAGAAGGGAGGCGAGAGCAAACTTCATCATTGCTTCTTTCAGGTTGGCAAAATTATGAGTGATGTTTGAGTGTTTCAATCTTTGTTTTTGGTATCGTTTTTGTTGCTCGAAAGTTGCAAATTGTGAGTGAGTTGTGAGAGCTGAAGAGAGATTGGGCCCAAGGGGTATCTTTTGCTGGGTGTACGAACATGTACTACAGTGTTTGGTGGTACGGCACTGTACGGCAGTCCACTGCCTTGCGTATGTAGCTTCCCGGTTCCCAGCGTAGATGACTTCAGGAATGACCCTTTCTGAACACTCTTGGCAGGTCAAGCTTACTAGGTGAACGAGCGATGGCAACATGAACACTTATTACTTTCTAAATGTTTTTAAAAGGATGCTTCTATTGACATTTGCTGTGATCAGGGTTTAAGTGTCTCGCGATCAAAGTTTCCACTGGGAACTGGGAAAGATCAGCTGAAAGATCTCTGTAGACCCCCAGATCCCAGATCCACTGAGACCCAAACAGCTCCACCAGTAAGTAGAAACTACTGCCCGCGCAGCAATCTACTAGACTAGCTAGTACTTTTGCTTGGAACTCTTGCTAGCTAGCTTGGTCAACCACGGTGCCCAATGCGATGATTCAGGTCTTCAGGTTGATTTCGGTCCTCTTCCGCTGTACCATCTGTAAACTGTGATACACTACCATGCACCACTCTCAACACAGTGGAACAGCAGCAGCAGCAGTAGCAGCAGCCATCCGAGAAACTAGCATCGATGCCGAGCCTGGCAATACAGAAGAGGCCCTTGTAACCTGCAAAATAAAGTAGTACCTGGTACAGTCGTCGTTACTCGGCTGGAAAAAGTTCATGAACGAACTACCCGGCAACCAAAGATTCCACCGTCAACCAGGATTTGTAGGCATGCTTGAGTATGATTTCCCTCTTCTGCGATCCAGGAACAACTAGTGAGGCAAAGCTTCCAACGGGAGTACAAAAACCTGGCAGCCAAGGAACCTTTGAGATAGTAGCACACGTACGGAGAGCCGGAATTCATGGTCATCGCAAGGCAGTCCTCGATGGAGGGATGGCCACGACAGTTCACACTGTGGCAGAAATCAGAATGAGTCCTCCATACAGTTCCAAGGACGTCATTTGCTCCAATGGAGTATGCGCTGCTGCATTTCAGCTCGTTAGGTCAAGCGGAATGGCTGCGTTTGACTCTTGCCCGTCCAACCTGCATTTTGCCACCACGACGGGAGAGCACTCAAAGTCTTACCTTGGATGTTGGTGATTCGTTTTGGTGGAGCACTCGAGGTCTTGCCTTGGCCGTGAGTGGTCAAAAGTCGTCTGCCTTTTTGTTGGGCTACAGTGTTGGTGCAGCCGGGGAATATACAGTAGCTCCGGATCTTGGAGGCAGACAGCTACCGGAAGGTTATGAAGAATTCGGAGAGCTGCTTGGGTTGGAAGCAGACAATGTATGTATAGTTCCCTCGTTCCCTCTGACAGTTGTAACTACCTCTGTGTGAATCTATTGACTTGAGAAAAAACTTTGCGCATCAGGCACCGCAAAGCCTCAAGCCAGCTAGCTGAGGCCGAAAGCTCCGTTCATTGGCGTGGCACTTCATCAAACACTCCATGGTCCGCAGTGAGATACGTTTTTTGGCCTGTTTCCAGATTGGGTACTAACTACATGTAGATAAAGGCGTCCAATCTATCAGCTTCAAAAATGCATCCCATTTGGAGGAGCCTTCCTCAGGCAAGACATGTGTGCGGGGAGAAAGCAGCAAATGCAAAAAGACCCTGGAGTGAAAGAAGGTGCTCAGTTGAAACTTGACTGGACAGCAAGCAAAGAACTCTTCGCACGTCCGCTGACAGGTTTTTCGCTTCATCATGGAGAAATCAAATCCTTCGCACTCGTAGACAGCGGATACTCCATTGCGAATGCTTTGAAAGTCCTGATTCGGTTCGATTCATGCTTTCGTAGAGGTAGTAAAGGCCGGCAAGCCAGGTTTGGAAGCTTCTTCTGTAGTCAGCTTCTTCTGCTGAAAGACCCGTGCATACACACAACAAAGATAGCAGTCAGCTTCATGGTTGTAAGACATGGTCGGGATGCGACCTGGGAACAGATTCAGGAGATCAGGAACGTCTACCATAGCTAGGCACGACTTGTCAGAGCTTATTAGTTCCTGCTACAGTCGCGTAATACCATCCGAACAGCAATGCAGTGCACCTGGATAGTTGCTCAACCCATATTGAATGCAACTTTCTTTGCAGGCCTTTTCAATCTCTTTGGTTGTCGTTCCTCAAGGTTTTCGTCTTCCTGTAGCGATGCACTCGTTGCTGTTGTAGACTCGGTTGAAACATTTGCGACAGCCAAATCGGAACGTTGCTTGGCTTTCACGTCATCGGGATGGGGCAGCGGCACATTCGCAATATCGGGAAGCAGGTTGAGTGATTTCAGTAGCAGTTGAATTTTGCCTCGCTGCGCCCCGGTTCCACTCGCAACCCCCAAATTTGCTGCAGCCCTGGCTTCCTCCATCTTTTTCATTTTTTCTTCCACACTCGTTTTTGCCAGCAGGGTTTCGACTTCCACGGGACCAATGGAGCCTCGCCCCATGCGCCATGCACGAGCCACAGCTTGTTGCTCCAACGACTTGTCCCAAACGGCTTCAAGGAAGAAAATATGCGTAACGAAGCTCAAGTCAAGACCCTCTGACCCATCCTTGGAAAGGAGCAGCACAAAACAATCGCTGCTGTGTACGAATTTGTGGAGCTCTTGCGATTTTGTGGAGCCCCAGTACTCCCCAATGCAGGCCGTGCCAAATCTTTTCAAAAGATGATTACCCACCAAGTTAAGAACTCGGCGAAATTGTGAGAACACAATCACCTTGAATCTCCGTCGATTTACGACATGGGAAGCGGAAGGCCTGAAATCTTGGTCTCGCTTTTGATCATCCTCGTATAGCTTCAACAGTTTGTTTATCAAGTAGAAAGACTTGCTTTCAGTAGTGGGGCACTCTTTTGGTTCACGGAAGCATGTTTGGCAGCATGAGCTCTTGTTGACAAGCTTGCAGTGGCTGTGCTCCTCAAAGCACAACAAACACTTCCCCGGTTCAAAAGAGCGACTGTATTCGCACACATGCCCGTCGCCTGGTTTCCGAGTTCTTCTACGCTCCGCTGGGGGGCGAAGCAAGAGCTGATTGACGGCCGGGGCACCCTGAACCGCGGGACCTTGCGCTGCGGCTGGACCATCCTGGACTACTCTGGCTGTGGCTGTTTCTGACGTCTGCCCTGATGCCTTGTCACCAACATAAGCGTAATCTTCGCTTCGCTTCCACTCGAACATGAAACCAGGCTGCGATGTAGTGGTTTGTGTGTGAGTCAATCGAAACGTGGATTGGAGGGAACGGCAAACAAGGACACACTTACCTGCAGAATCTGAAATTCATCGACATCGTACGGTTTGTCACACATTGCACAAGCATGGCGAGACGAATCGTTACACTCGGTGCATAGCAAACAGCCACAAGGCATCACCAATTGCATACTCAGCAATATTCCGCAGCAGTAACACCTCGAGAGCTGCTCTGACGTAGCCCTTTGCACATATTCGTCCATTTTCTGAATGGTCTCTGGTGACATCTTGTGCTCGTCTCGACATAAATGGATGAACTCTACCCAGTGTTCGTCCGTAATAGTTGGGTACACCCGAGACTCTCCGCAACAGACTCGGCGAATGTTTTCCAAGGCCCTCTGGGCATGCTTAGCTTGGGAACGATGCAAGAGAGAATCTTGTTTTCCAGAACTTTTCCCTTCCATGGCCGTTACTTGCAAATTGATCTAAAAAAATATGTATGGTGAGAAGGGCCGCCGCACCAACCTGCAGATCAGATCAAATTCGACTTACCTGCACCGCAGACACAAGTGTATTGTAGGTCGTGAGCTCTTCAAGACTCATTGGCACGACTGTTGTTGTGTAGACCGGTTGCGGGAGTTCTTCAATGTCGAGTTTTGTGTGTCTGATCATCAGCAGAGTCAGGAGGGACTTGAGGCGATAGAATGCCGCAAGGTGTCCATCTTTGAAACTTTTTGCGATAAGGCGTTTCCAAACTTTATCACCTTCTTTCCTCCTCGTGAAGAAATCATGCTGCAGGAACGTCATCAAACCATTCAGATTGTTGAGCCCGTTCTTGGAAATTGTCTGCTGAGTAGGAGTTCCTGTCATTGCCCAACGACGTTGAGCTGAGATCCAAGATGCGAAGCTGATTGCAGAGTTGCCTTTTCCACGCCCCATTGCGTGCCCTTCGTCGACAACCATTCTCAACCAATTTATCTTCAAAAGCGGACAAGCCTCTTCGTCGGCAGAGCCATACTCCATCAGCCGATAGTTCTTCACATACCGACCGTCGCGATCGTGTCCGTCTTGTTGGGATCGCTTCTGGGCAAGTTCTTCCTGGAACGACCCGTTCTTCCATTCGTTGGTGAATCGTCTCGTCGTCGTGATGACAATTTTGAACATTGCCAGAAATTCGGGCGATGGAAGCTTCTGAGTTCCTGCTTTGTCAACAAATATGAAAGGATAGTGCGTCTTGTCAATTTGAGTTAGTCGTAGGGCTTCCTCCAACCCGAGAGCTGACTTCCGGTTCGGGGTATACTCGTAGGTCAAGGGAATTAGCTTTGTCGCGTAGTTGGGGTCGACGTGCATTCGAATTTGCTCCTATAGACGCATGTTGTGACAAAGCAACTGGTTAGAGGAAAGATCGGCAAGCTTCAACATGCGCTGTGTATCTATTGTCACGTAGACATACCTGCCAGTGCTCCATCAACCCAGGAGGAATGACTAACAGTGTGGTAGAGGATGGCAGGAGCTTCTTTTCGAACTCCAATCCCGCCTTCTTCTGTAAAAGTGCGGCGACGGATGAATTGGGTTTTAGCCCTGCGTTTGATGCGGAAGACCGCAATGAACCAAGTTGTTCTTTCTTAAACTCTACGATCAGCTGATGTCGAAAGAGATCCAGAAACTTCTGGGCTGCTTCGTGGACTTCGTGATCCTTCGGGTTGTATTCCATAGCATTTCTTTGGGAAGGGGCAATCGACAATAGATGTTAGCAAGCTAGCCACCGTGCCGAGCCTGTCCAAATTTTGTTACGCTACTCACTTGAAACATAGTTCGACGTCCAAAACAAACGCATCGAAATCGGCTCCATAATCACCAGAAGCAATCCGCTTGGTAATGTCAGCGAAACAGATGGGTTCCTTGATAACATCCGCATAGTCTTCGCACTCGTCATTCTCTGGATCGATAGGATGTTGAAAGAACCACGCTGATACTGGATCAACCTTTTTGAATCTTGCCAGGAGACGATACAAAGCCGGTCGCCGAAACTCGGGTGTGATGTCCTCCTTCCAGTAAGCTCCGAACATTTCGTCTTGGTCGGAAACTACGGGTTTTTTGGTCGACTCGTCATCACCACGGCCGTGCTCCTGTTTCGTGGCACATTCTGTTTCGAGTCCCAATGTCTGAAGGAATAACGCCAGGAGAGTGATGGTCTTCCCAAGCCCAGGATCGTCTGAGAGGAGCCCACCCCGAGCCCCCTGTCTGGCTAATGCATCCGGCTGAGACTGTTCGTGGCCCGTCATTTGATCGATTCGAATCCCCCCCTGTTTTCGACTATCATGATCTGTAGTGCCCTTTGGTCGTGGACACAACCACACGGACTGTCCCCCCGTCATGGCTCGAATGGGATCATTGTCGTCTTCTTCTCCCAACGTAATAATTCCCGCATCCAAGTTTTCTTGCCCCGTGGTTTCCGAGATGGGCCGTACTTCACGGTGCCGCATCCATTGCAAACTCTTGATTTGATGTCGAAACAGCCGCAGCTTGAATCCCGGCACAACGGCCTGTAGACTCTGATGCAAGCTTTTGCAGGTACACCGAAGAGAGTTTAATGATTTGGCACGAAGAAACGACGCAATCTGCGTTTTGAGGATATCCATGGGGATCATTGTCAGGAGCTTTGCGTTTTGGCCAGCGAGTGTTGTGGATTGCTGACTGATGAAGCTTGGTTCATCCCCATTGTCCATTTGTACCCGGTCGTTGCTTCCGCGGATTCGAGTGTACAGCTACAGTTACACAAGTATGTATGATAAAGGGAGTCAGCAGGCATACAGAATCAAAACAAATCTTTCAGTCGACCAATCCGCACTGCTGGGCTACTCTTACCTCTTCCATCGATAGAGCCGGTGGAAAGAATGGTCTGCTCCTGCTTTCTTCTCTCCACCCATTCTCTAGCTGTTTCATTCTAGTACCCAGGCAGTCCCAGTCACTCCGTATGATGCTGAGCAGGAATTGAACCGACGTTGGTAGGGGCTTGAGGTTGCTGGTTCGGGTGGTGCCCTGGGGAGATGGTGGTACAATGGATCGAATGGATGGTTGCTGTCTGGAGCTCTTTCTGGTATTTCCTTTCGCAACTGGTTCAGAATCCTCTTCCACTGTCAAGGATGGAAAGGCAAATGTCACCAATAGAGATGCCTTGTGATTATTGTCGTCTTTTTGTCGTTGTTTTCCGTGCACCAACACTTTGATTTGTTGGATTGCGACATAGCCATGGTCCTGTGCTGCCAATATGGCTCCACAGAGCAAGGCTGCATCGGAGCGTTGCTTGGTACAAGATTTGCCTCTTTCTTTGGGGTGCACAACCATATCTGCCAAGGTTGCTTGGAAGCGTGCCACGTTGGATGTGCAGAGAGATAGCTGTCCGTCGTTGGAATCATGAAAAATGAGATTGCAACGAGGGCATGGTACGTCGTCGCTGTTGTTGATATCGATGGAAGTACCAGTGTCTTCCATGTTCTCTTTTGGGAGACAAGTCGGCGACACATCCATCCAAGTGCATGTTGTAGATTGATTTGAGAGAGCCGACGTTGTGGATTCATCGGAAGAAGAGATTATGGCAATGGAACAATCTGACAGGAGCACATATCCCATTTCGGTGGTGGATAAAGAATGGACGTTCTCTCCGCTGTTTCGCTCTGGTGGTGGTTCCTCAGTCTTGTTGTTGTTCATGGGACAATCCTCTTCTTTGCTTTCCTCGGTCCTCCTCTTCTTAGAAGTATTAGTAGAGTCCGACTCGGAAGATCGACGACGTCTCGTTGTTGGTGGCATGATGATTGAATCGCCGAAAGCTTTGAGATCTGAGGTAGGGCAGCACTTCTCTTTCACAGAAAACGGCAGGCTAAGTCCCTTTCTCTTGGAGTCGAGCCTCGCTGTGTGTACGGTATCTCCCCGTCGAATACTCAACCTCTCGATTGCTGTTGCTCGAAAATGAATGGCGAGACGTGGGGTGCCCTCGAGATTTCTTGAACTCTTTGTGATTTCTTTTGCAACCAACCAACAACACAACAAGCTATATAGTAACTACAGAATACCAACTGGTACCACCAACCAAATAGCAGCCGTCAAAGGTCGTCGTGCTCCTCCACCTCTGGGAAGATGGATTGGTTTGGAGGTTCTCGACTGGACCTGGCTTTCTTTGTCATTGTCACTCCCCACTTTCCACCATGCCCTCCCATTAGACCGGTACCCAAAGCAAATACATGTTAAATCTTCAGTTTCTAAAACTTACTCACGACTCGACTCGACTCGACTCGACTCGACCCGACTCGACTCGACTCGACTCGACTCGACTCGACTCGACTCCCTCCTTCTCGACTTCGGTGTGCAGTTCCCGTCAAGGAAGCAGAGAGCAAAGCGAGGCCGCAGGAACTTGAGCGGGTGTGGGACGAGTACAGTGTACCGGTACCCGACTTCAATGAGTTTTTCAATGAGTATCGTACATGTATGGTACTGGTACCAGGTACTACGGAAGGCACCGGTACCATGGTGCTCCCTACCGGTACAATATCCTATCCCAGATATGGACAACTGGACAATTGCAACTCTACTTAGCAGGTCTTCAACGTAAGAGGGATGCGGCAACGCACGATTGTTTAGAAGACGACGATGCGCACTGGCAGCATGGCTCCGTGCTCCGAGCGAACATTTTGTCATTACTTCCTCCAAGAGTCGCGGTTCTAGCTACCCTTAGTGCTGCCCGAAGAAAGCCCACTGCGATGCAACGCCAAGACTTGCATCGTGGTGGCCTAAGAACGTCTACAGTATTTATTGCGATTGCTCGTGTCGACAGCTGCTTGCTGTCGCGAGGATCTGAACTGGCTAGCTTACGACGAAGCCTCAAGCACAGACAACAGCTCGAGCTCCTCACCATGAACTGTCGTCGGTTTGCACTTCTCTGCTTGCTGCCAGCTTGGGTACTTGGAGACGAGAAGAACGTCAGAACGGTGAGTAATGGTTTTGGTTCTTATGTTTTCTGATCCACCAGCTTTTCGATGTCCTCGCTCACTTCATGCTTTGTTTTCAAACTAACAACTCCAGCGGGATCTTGGAGCGCTAAACCCTGTGTCGTACGCTCAGTCCAATGGAACAGCCACACCCACAAAGCTCAGGCTCCCCCTCGTTTCGGGAGACCGCGATCTTCAAGTAGTGAGCGTGGCCACCTCTGGCAAAATCCAATATCCTGCCTCGTGGCGGTCCACCAACTATCTCCAAATCCTGGATCACGATGGATGGGCCCAGCGAACCGATGATGAATCGATAGCAACAAGATTCGAGAAATATGATTATAATGGTGATACATATTACAAAGTAACGAGTGGAGACTGGGGTGGATACTGGCTCTCTTACAACAACGATGGCTACCTTGCGGCATATAGGTGGACGGATGCTCGTGCATGGACAACGCGTGAGGGTTGCCTGACAGTGGATGGCACGGCCTGGGAAACATTCCTTCACAACAACTACTTCTGGGTTGACAACGTCAACAGTGATCCCCATCCAGACCAACACATTTACTGTTATCTTGCCCATCTAGTCAAGTATTGGGGTTACGACAGCATTTGTCTCACATTGAATTGAGCCAAAGGTGTTGCGGTGTTGCCAATGCGCCCATCCCAGATAGTAAGAGTGAATACGCCTTGTGGACTTGTTAAATCTGGAAAGTATCATTAAATCTCTTTCCGTGGCCTAATCTTTCGCACTGGAGAGAGCTTCGGGGGATGAAATGATCTCTCCCATTGCTGCTCTGTACCGATGGGCATTGATGAACCCGTTCTACTGTCCTTTTAAAACCTAGATAAATGAATTGTCTTGCACACGAACAAAGATAGTTCGGATCCCCAGTCAAGGCTGCAAACTAGGCGCATTACCGAACGACACGGCAAACGTGAGCGTCTCACTTGCTTGAAACGTGTTCTGCTGTGATACCCATCGACGGTCTGTTTGCCCAAGATCGACAGGACTCATTATTCTAGTACAGAATTGTGGTGAACAAAAGAGGAACTAAATCACATCCCAAAAAAAGCAACGATGACAACGTCTATTGAATACATGAAACAAATCCAGGGGTTGGAGGTGAATGAAGCACAATGGGTCGGCGACGATGCCGTCCTCGAGGAAGTCTGTCGACATTGGAAGGAATGTTGCAAGTCAGCCGGTTACAATGCCGAAGACGAGGAGTGGAATCGCAAAATGCAAGAGTTTCACCAAGAGAACCAAAAGTCTGGTTTGAGGCCTCGCACCTTCGTGGCCACTGCCGCCGACAGCGGTGTTGTGGGATCCATCAATTGTCAAATCTGGGCCGGGCCCTTGCCTTGGATCGTCCAACCCGATGTCTTTAGGCTAGGATCTGTCTGGGGGCTGCATGTGGATGAGACTGCCAAGGAGCCCGAGGCAGTCCGAAGGGAGCTCTTGAAGGCGGCGCTGGACCACCTCCGCAGCGCCCAATGCTCCAAGGTCGTTACACTTGCTTTCACCAAGAACGATAGAGATGCCCTCATAGAGGCCAATGTTGGCTTTCAGTCAGCCAATATGCTCACCTTGGATTTGCAGTCATTCGAAGAAGTTGAGACGACAGCGCCAGAGTCCTACACTTGCATTCCTGGCGATGAATCCTACGATGCAATGGTCTGCGAGAACTGGCGAAAGATGTGGCAGGATGTCGGGATCCCCGCCAAAGCTTTGATTTCCGAAATGGAAGAAGTTACCCTCTCCTTTCTCAAGCAGGCTCGTGATCGATTGCGTTATCAAACCTTTGTCGCACGCGATGACGCCACCAACGAGGTTGTGGCCTCGGTGAGCTGTCAAGTATGGGAAGGACCCATGCCCACAAACATGATATCCAAATTTCAACTTGGGACAATCTGGGCTGTCTATGTGGATCCTTCTCATAGGAGAAGAGGGGTTGCTACTTGTTTGATGAAACTGGCCTTGCAGCACCTACAAAAGGTTGGCTGTGACAATGGCATCCTCATTGCTGCCTCGGAAGGGGGCCAACGCGTGTACGAAAGGTTGGGCTTTCGTCCCAACAATGCCTTGGTGTGTGATGTGAACCCTGCAGCGGAGAAAAGCACCGCAGAGGAGCCAGCAAAAGAAAGACGCCATGTGGAGGAAGAAAAGAAGCAAGAAGACACGTCCGTCGCAGGGAAGCCGTCGAAAGCTAGAGTCCCGATTTGGGATCGGCAACGGGAATTGGTCGGTCTCCTCAAGGAAAGAGACATGACGCCACGGCAATTGAATGCCATGGCCACGGCCACCACACGGCAAGTCTTTGCTGTCTACGGGGATAACCCACGAGTCTACGACGTCGCTACGGCAGTGAAGAACTTCCAAAGGCGACATGGAATGTATGTGGATCCAGAGTGCAATTGGTTTACGCAGAATGTGACGAAATTTGGCCGTGGTTTTGATATGAAGAAGCTCAAAGAGGACCCGACCAAGTTGGCGTCCAAGTTTGATCGTTTGTCTATTCATTACGACGATTGGACCGTGGGCAATCAAAGCAAAGTGGAGTCTTTCATTGTCGAGTGTGCCCGAAACCATGAGAAAGTTATGAAGAGCAAGGCAGCCCGCATCTTGGACGTTGCTTGTGGAATTGGGCTGCAAGGACAAGTTCTACGCCTCTGTGGCTTCGAAGGGGAGCTGGTTGGAACGGATATCTCGCAGGGGATGGTCCAACGCGTGATGGAACGTGGTTGCTACGATCATGCGTATGTAGCCAATGCCAACGAGAGTCTGGCATGCAGTGACGATGGACGCGATGGCGTCCTGTACGATGCTGTCATTTGCACAGGAGCAATGGAACTTTTGGATCAATGCAAGGTACTGGCGGACCTTGCACGGATGACCAAGCCCTGTGGAGAGGTTTGGGTTTCGTTTCAGCAATATACGCTCGAGAACCCAACAGAGCATCAGAATGTTCGTGGCACAAGCGAAGCGGACGCTCTCAATCTACTCAAACAAGCTGGGTTCGACGACATTGTGTCCATGGAAAGGTGCCGCGATGCGTTCTACACGCCCTCCCCGTCACAAGATGGGTCGTTACTGCCGGTCCCGTACCTCTTTCTTGTCGCGAGGAAGAGCTCTGCCTGACCTAGTAGCCGGTGTGTGTTGTAGCTCCGCGTTGAAACAAGGTACGCTCGCGACGACGACAGAAACTCCACTTTCCCTGTGATTAAGCCATACTATAGACATTATCATTGCAACTACGCGTAGGCCGCGCTGGCTCTTCTGGCCTTTCTTGCCAGAGCTCAACGATGATTGAAGATTCCAAAGATTCAAATCACTCTCAATCGCTCTTCAGAGACTCCAATGATTTGAAGGCTTGTGCCGTCTTCTTTCAACGAGTCAAACACCGGAACCAATGCTGCATCGGACTCGTTGCCAATCACAATAATCAATCTCAACCAATCATTGGTCCAACCGAAATCCTCTTGCCCGTTGCATTGAGCTGAACTTGAGGGGGTGGCTGGGAATCCACAAGCCTAGACGCTTCTTTCCAGTTTTTTCGAAGCTCCAAAAGCCGATTGGCCCTGTTTGTTGTGAACTCTGTGACCTCACTACTCCTTCTGACCTTGTCACTGGCACTTGTCTTCCCATTGCTATCCTTGGTACTGGGATTAGGTAGACCCTTGGAGTCCTTGGCATTGGACTTCACCTTAGTCTTTTTCTTGGAGGTCAGTGAGCGGTCCGATGATGACCTCCATATCGTATTACCTTCTGCTGCTCTGTGAGCTTTGACAAATCTTAGTCGTCTTTGCTGGCGGCTACCCCCGCCGACATTGAGATGGCCACTGCTGCTAGATTTTCTCCGAAGAGGTTGTGGTTCAGATAGGAGCTGCTCCAAGGAGAGGTCTTGATCCTGATCCTCTGTTGACACGTCCAACAGTGAGGGCGCTGACGATGATCGCTTTGGTTTGGGTACAATAGCCAGCAAGTCCTTCTCTGACGACCTCCTCTGTTGAACATATGCTCTCGATTTTGGTTTCATCATTGTTGTAGGGCTCGCACTGCGGCTTGATTGTGACTCGACCGTGCTTCGCCTTGAAGAAGTACGGCGGCTCTTCCTTGCACTCCTGTTTCCTATCACGAAACTCGCCCTAGAGCCATCACGTTTCTGCTTGCCATTTTGAAGGTTGGGTGTGGAGGATGACCTTTTGACCGGGCGTCTTTCTTGCCTGGTCTTTGCTGTGACATCGTTGGACTCGGAAAGCGTCTTCCAGTCATAAGATGCCATCAAGGCCTTCACATTGATCTTATCCGACTGCCTTTGATGCTTCAGCTCAACACCAATGTCTTCCGAGCTGCTTCGTTGAGGTTGTTGGGAACAGTTGGATGGGTTGGAGGACCAACGGTCAGAGGAACATGGTGCCGTGGCACTCCTGCCAAACGGAGGGTTGGTCTTATCTTTGGGCGAACCGAGGTTCAAAGGTTTCGTTGATCTCCGTCTCTGTTGGATTTGTTCAGGCCGTTGCTTTCCAGCGCCTTTTTCGAGAGCAATGCTTCTAGTTCGTGAAGGGCGTCTTGCATTGCTTCTCATGCTATCTCGCTTTGGCGGAGAGCTTGATAGCTCTCGGTTGGATCTTTCGCGAGATAACACTTGCTTTGCCCCAACATCGACATTCGCATCCAGTTCACTGTCCACGTCGCTATCAGTGTCATCGTCGGTGTCGGTGTCGCTGTCACTGAAGCTGTTGGCGAGCTCCAAGATATCTTTGCTCCGAAGAGGCCGTCTGATTGAGGTTCGTTTGCTTGATCTTACCGGTGTACTACCAGCATCAACCGCCCGGTCGACTCTTGCGGGTGTGCTTCCGGCATCATCAATCCTGTCAACCCTTCCAAAAGAAGCTATATTGTTGATATCACGGCACGAGCCTCTACGTTTCAGACTTGGTTTTGTTTTGCCAGTGAGGAGCTCATCAATTGAGCCATGGGACTTGCGCCGCTTTGTCTCTCTAGTCGGGTTACCAACCGTGCCCTGGAAGAGCTGGTTTAAGAGTGCACGAGACCCAGTCTGCGCTTCGGCCTCAACCGCTGATTCCTTCTGCTGGGAAGTTTCACAAGTGTCTTCTCCTTGTTCAACCCTTGAACACTCTGCAGAACCATTGGTGCTTTTAGACCTGCTCTTGCTACTAGCGGAGTCGGCATTTCCAGAGCTGTTTGAATGCCCACAACTGTCCTTGTCATCATCACTCGCAATGGCAGCACACGACGAGACTTTCGTTCGAGTGTTTTCAGTCCCATCACTTTCGCTGTCGGAGGTATCAATGGAGAGAATCCTACATAGAGCTCGAACTCCACGGCGGCTGCTACTTCTGCGATGGCTCTCCATTACGTCAAGGTCAGAGCAACTCTTCCTAAGGTCTTTGATTGTTTCGAGGAACGACCAGTCTCCTTCTTCTAGAATGGAGCCGGTGCTGCTATTGAATCTATCATCATTTGCCTTGACATGGAAGAGAGAGTGCATCTCTCTGTGTTCATGACTTCTGGTGTGACCACTCAAGCTTGAGATACTGTTGTTGTTGTTGTTGTTGTTGTTGTTGTTGTTGTTGTTGTTGTTGTTGTTGTTGTTGTTGGTGGTGTCGTCGTCATCGTCACTGTCACACGTATCAGTAGACGGAATCTTGCAAATAGTTTTTCTTCTGTGGCTACTTCGGGATGTCTTGCTGCCACTCTTTTCCGTCAAGTGGCGGTCAGAGCTACTCTTCCTGAGGTTCCGGGACGCTTGCAGGGAGGTGCGATCTTGTTTTTCACGTGTACAGACTGTGCTGGTGCGGAGTCGATCATTGTCGTCTTCAGAGCGGCGGCGCGACGCCTTCTCTACCTTGTTCGAGATTCTTCTGCTGTGCTTGTTGTCGAACTGCTCACCCTTCCCAACAACGGCACCTTTTAATTCCATTGGTACTAGTATTGCTGCGGAGGCGGCATCGCTTTTCTTGGATCCACGTGCCTTGGACCTAGTAGATGAACCAGAGGAGGTGCGGGTGCTTTGCCTTCGATGGCTGCGCGTACTGGACCTAGTAGACGAACCAGAGGAGGTGCGGGTGATTCCATAGCTACCGGTACGCGCACCCGTACTGGATCTAGTCGACGACCCAGAGCGACTGCGGATGCTTTGGCTTCGATGGTTGCGCGTACCGGTACTTTTGCTTTCCTCTGCCCTTTTGTGCACAGCATTCTTCTTCGTTTCCTCATTTAGTTCACGTTTTGTGTTCTCCTTGAGCTTTGGGTCATTGTCCGTGGTCGGGCCTCGCTTGCAAATACCACCTCCGAGTTCCATCGATATATCTTCTTGGCTTGGAACCCATTTGTCCAACTTTTGATCTTCGTGCGTGACTTGCCGATTGTCATCGTTGCCACGGCTATCCCTGTTCTTCGTTTCTGCCCCCTTAGAGCTCATTTCTGGCGTACCCATGTCAAGTTTGTTCCCTTGCCCATCCATAACTTTGGGTTGATCGGTGTCTTCTTCCACGGAATCCTCATTCTTGACTTGATCTTCCGACGCATCTGCGCTTTTGCTCTCGTGGTCAACAGTGTCCTTTCCCTGCGGAAGAAGCTCTTTACCATCTGCCAGATCCTTTGCCTTTATCAAGCCAACTGCTGGAATCTTTCCCTCGACCATTCCAACAGGACAGTCTTCTACTGATGCTCCATCAACAACGACCATGGTGACTTGATTTGGGATTTCCATCATAGTTCAGATAGATCTACCATAGGATTGTGAGCTTCCCCAAGAAATTAGAATTGACAGTCGAGTCTGAGTCGCTGGATCATTCGCACGTGTCCAGGCAGCCTCTTCACCAGCAAGAACGGCAGTGGCGAAGACTGACTGGTAAAAAAGATGCGCACTGGTCAGGAAAGGGCACCAAAAGCCTTTTCGCCCTTAACTCTTGTCACCTGTCCGGTGCCCTGCTTCCGGTACAGAGTACAGAGTACTGCTGCTGTGACCACAAAGCTACCGTACGAACGTACGAACCCAAGCTACATGTATGATAGCTACCGGTAGCTGGTGGCTGGTGGTACCGCTGCCGCCTGTACTGTGCAGCAACACGAGATACGAGATGATCATCTACAGTGGTACACTGTAACAGCGGGACTTGTCTCAGTTTCATGGTTTCTTTCCACCACTTCGATGCCAGCGGAAGCAGCTAGCTAGCCAGCTAGCTAGCTGGCTAGCGAGCCAGCTGGCTAGCTAGCCAGCTGGCTAGCTAGCCAGCTGGCTAGCTTTCTTCGGTACCACATACAGCCGTATGGCATATGCATAGCTCTCAGCCAGCTACCAGAGGCCATTTGCTAGCTAGCTACTGAGTAGTGGCTATCTATCTGTGACTGCACCTCAAGTAGCTTCCGGTAGCCACGTAAGCATCAACCCCGGAGCAAACGCAAGGCCACTCACTATGGGCCGAAATCTGCTAGGTCACTCGAAGGCGAGGCGCGAATTGCGTGCCATCTCGTAGCCTCGAAGTCTGTCGCTCTGATTAATATTGTGAGGAGCATGGTCGACCAAGGTACTTTGCGCTCGCTTCCTATGGCCCGTTGCATCTCCCATTCAAACAGGACGCCGTAGCGGAAAGCTCCTCTCTGTTTGGTCCGACTGTGTGAATCCGAGCGCGTACCATTACGTATTCACCCTTGCATGAATGAACGAAGTCCACATCCCACGTAAGATATCATTGCATTGCTCTGCGATATGACTGCGATATTTGCTCCCAAGGAACGTTTCTTGGCCATGGAGACTTCCCAAGAGCCCTTTACACAGAAGCGCGCCATGATCCTAAATAATTAGCCGTAGAGCCCTTGGCCCGTCAACAGATGAGGAAGAAGGCGCAAACAGAGATAGAACAAGGAGAGTTCTGTCAGAGCATGGTAGGCCGGATCAGACTCTATTCGCCAAGACGGCAACGTCCACGGTCGATGGGTCTTGAGCTCCTCCAGCACCATGGACGCTGTGAGCGACTTTGATTCCGCCACGGACAAAATTTCTTGATCGCTTCGTAGCCTAGTTAACAGACGGTTGCGCAAGCCAAAGAATGAAACTGCTTTCCAAAATTCTGAAAGATTGTCACGAAGAGGAACGGGTTAGACAAAATGGCTCCACACACAAAAACCTATTAGGTAGATATCATAGCGTTGACGTACCCTTGTCGTCCACCGATAAATGATCATACATGACAGTGGCAAATTGGACCGAATGGAGGCTCGTGTTGCCCGCCAGCGCCGCCAACCATGCCGCATAGATGAAGCGAACGACACTGCGACTAGAAGATCTCCAGACTTCTTCGCTATCAAACCCAACGTTCAATGTCAGCTTTTGTATCTTTGTGGCTCCATGAAGTGCCCTGGCCATGCTTTGCAAGACATGCGGATCCAACCCTTGCTGTTCATTGTCATGCCCAATCTGTAACGATTCCAAACTTTGATTGACAGCCAGCGATTCGAATAGTTTCACAATGCCCTTTTTGTAAAATGCACTGGGAGCCTCTTCCAATTCCACGAATAAGCTACGTAGACGACACCCTGGCTTGCACAGTGCCTTGGCTAGCATTGCCAAGGATTGATCGGATACTGGAGACGATTCGAGGGAAAGGTCCAGCAAGGAGTAGTCTGGCTGATTATTGCGACCAATGGAAGCCTGCAACGCACTGGCCAGATGCCCCATGGCTTCCTCGTCCAATCGCACCCCAAAATTGTGCAACGTCAAGGATTGAAGAATGGGATTGACACGCAATCCATTGGCAATCAGACGCATTTCTTCGGCATTGGCCTGCCCGGCATCTTCCTCGTCCTCGTCGTCATCATCGTCGTCCTCCTCGTCATGATTGTTGTGTGCCGTACTGCTGTCCCAATAAAGTTGCAAGTGCCGGATGCTGCGATTGTGTGTCAATACTTGCTCGAGTGCATGTCCACAACAGGAAGAAGAATGCTGCAATCCAATCAATTTGCAGTGCGTGATGCACGTGTTGCGTTGCAGCGCGCCAATGACATTCATGGAATTGTTGTTGTTATTATTGGAATTGGAAAGCAGCACCAGTTGCAGTCGACGTGGCTGTGTCATGTCACTCAATAGCTGAGCCAGATGCGGCTCGTGAGTAAACTGACATTGGACCAATTGAAGCATGTCGAGTGTCTTGTTGCCCAGCAATCCTCGCAGCAGGCCTTGTGAGTGTTCCATGTCCAAGTTGATTTGTTCCAATTCCAGCCTCTCAAGATGACACTCGGAAGACATCAAAAATTGTTCCAAACCACCCTTGATTTCCAGATCCATGCGTCGTCCATGCGGGTGACGGAATCTCAACCGCTGTAGTGTTGACGGGCACTTTTTGCTCAACGCTGCGAATAGTACGGATATAGCGCTGTTGGAAAACGATCCAAAATTCAGTTCTTCGAGTGTATTGTTGTTGTTGGCAAATGCGTCTGCCATTCGGTCCATGTCAAATGAAGAGAGTTGCAGCACGGGTTCGGAAAAACTCAGGTTCCATCGACGAATGGTCTTTGTTTCCGTCAAGATTTGACACAGTGGCGACACATTCTTTCCTTGGAATGGCACATCCATCAGAGACAGTGACTGGATGTTGGCATTCGAATTGACAGCTACGGCCTCCAAGAGACTGGACAACGTCCGCATCACGGTCATGTTGGCTTGGGCGTATGGCGCCCTGAAGGTGATTTCTTGCAGACTGGTCGACTGTTCCAAGAAATTCATCACCTCTAGAGCTCCCCATTTGGTCCATTCTGCAAAATTCAAATCGATACTCTGGATGGTACTGCATCGTTGCAATGCCAGTCCTAGACGATCGGCATAATTGGCGTCCGTGGGAACCGTCAATTCATAGGATTGGACCGAGGAGGGATCCGCTTCCAGATTTTGCAAATCCATAATCTCTCGAGGGACACGAGGCTCATCCCACAACAGATCAAAGTCATCTTCGACGACCACATCGTCAAACAACTCCACCACGAGATCTTCCATCGTTATTATGGTTGCTGTGGTCAACTAGTAGTAACTATCTTGCAGAGGAAAGAGGGCAGCTCTTCGCATGTATGTGTGAGCGATGTGGGTAAGGGTGCATTGACGAAGATCCAAATTGAAGCCAGCAGAACGGTTGGAATGGAGTCGAGTCTCAGGAGCAACGTTCCAAATCAGCACAACCCGAAACTTCCGCAGATGTTGTTGCGGATGAGCAAACTAGCTAGACTAGAGAGTGAAGTTATGCGCCAAAGAATGTTGACAGTTTCTGGTCAAGTTCACGGTCATTATTAGTAAAGCTGTAGAGTTGCTTTTGCGGAAAAGCTAAACCTTTGGAAATGGGTGGCAAGTTCTTGAAACTTGTAGTCAAAGGTCTCGCAGAGCGACTAACTGGTACGATGTACGATGTACTAAGAAGGAAGCTCACCTTTTTGGAGATCCATTGTTGAGACAGCATTCAGAGAAGGACTTTGAACACTTGAAGCACCAGTGTGTTTTTAACGTCATGGCTCCTGTAGACTTGGAACCAGCAGCAGCAGGAGCCTTCTGATCATTATAGACGATAGAAAATGTCTGTTTCCAATGGTGGCTTCTCGAACTTGAAGATACGCAATTACGGGTGCCACAGAATCGAATCAACTTTGAGACGATTGAACACATCATCAGCGTTGCCTAGCTAGAAGCATGAACTTCACCTCCCGGCCGCGTTCCGACGGTGCTTGTCGATGGTCTATTGTAGCCTCTTGTAGCTACCCCACGCTCAAGCTTTCATCAGTTCTGAGGAAAGCTTCAGTGCAGGCGGGACAGGAGTGGCCGACTATGCGCGGACCAACAGCGAAGCAAACCGGATTGAATGATCATTCGATTCTCACTGGACAACAAAACCTTGCTCAAGTCCAACCAGTCTTTGCGTGTATGGATGGCAAACAGTGGCTTTCGTCCTTTGCCCCATGGACGGAAGTGCCACCGAACGATTGGGAACAGTAGGGCTGCTTGTGCTAATGCAGTATGGTATGCCTGGGACCGCTCATCCAGTAGGCCTCCCGCAGAGGGCGAAGAGGGAGAGCACCGAATAACACAAACCTGAAAGCAACAAATCAACAATCCCAAGCCGACGGCATCACAACACAGCCAACACTCACTACAATGAAGATTGCCATTAGCTTCGCTTTACTTGCAGTGCTTCTTGGATCATCCCACGCAACTGATTCTGGGCTTCAAAGCGGAGAAACCTCGCAACGCAAATTGGACCTAGCGGGCACTCCCCTTGAACATATCGTCGGGAGCCTGTGCCCATGCTTCACTTTTGATGACCTCCTCCAAACCTTCGGTGGAGTAGCCGTCGATCTCTGTACTGCCCCTTCGGATCCCCAAACTGGTCTTCCATTTGGAGGGCTGATTGCAGAAGATCTTCATGAAAATGATGTGAGGGCTTGTGCTGGCAACTTCTGTGGTGGGGGTTGTAGCTTACGTGACAGCAAATTTGGCATTGATGAGTTCAATGCCACCATTTCTGACATGGAAGAGACAGAATGTATCTTGAACGTAAAATTGTTCTGTTCTGGCTTTGAAACACTCAGGACCAACACTCCAGGCCCTGCTACAGCACCCCCCTCTTCCCTTGCCCCTGCCACAGAAACCCCATCTCGGGCACCTGCTACAGCAACACCCTCTCGGGCCCCTGCTACGGCATTCCCCTCTTCCCTTGCCCCTGTTACGGCAACCCCATCTCGGGCACCTGCTACAACAAACCCCTCTCGGGCCCCTGCTACAGCAACCCCCTCTCGGGCCCCTGTAACAGAAAGCTCATTGACTCGGGCCCCTGCTACAGCAAACCCCTCTCGGGCCCCTGCTACAGCAACCGCCTCTCAGGCCCCTGTAACAGAAAGCCCATTGACTCGGGCCCCTGCTACAGCAAACCCCTCGCCCCCCTGCTACAGCAAACCCCTCTCGGGCCCCTGCAACAGAAAGCCCATTGACTCAGGCCCCTGCTACAGCAACCCCCTCTCGGGCCCCTGTAGCAGAAAGCCCATTGACTCGGCCCCTGCTACAACAAACCCCTCTTCCCATGCCCCTGTTACAGCAACCCCCTCTCGGGCCCCTGTAACAGAAAGCCCATTGACTCGAGGAAGTGCCACAGTGGGTCCATCTTCCAGAGCAACAAACCGTCCCCTGGTCACACCAACAAGCAATGTCTTTACCATGACCAATGATAAAAGCCTGAACGAGGTTCTCATGTTCAGCCGTGATGACCAAACTGGAACCATCCATTTTGTCGAGTCTTTTGTCACCAGTGGCAGAGGAGGAGCTGCCCAAGAGGGCCCCAATGACCCCCTTGCATCCCAAGATTCCCTCATCTTGACCACCAACGATGAGTGTCTTTTGGCAGTCAATGCTGGATCTGATTCTGTGACAAGCTTTGCTGTTAAGCCCGATGACCTCATTAACGCAGGAGTCTACCACACAAATGGAGCATTCCCATTGAGTGTGACTGAAAATGCTGATCTGGTGTACATTTTGAATGCTGGTGGTGAAGGTAGCATCAGTGGCTTCATCAAGCAACATGGCTGTTTCTTGACACCTATCGAAGGATCCACAGTGTCGCTCAACATTACTGATGGTCAGAGCCCACCCTTCTTCCTTGTAGCTCCAGCTCAAATTGGCTTTACACCTGATGGATCGCATCTTGTTGTGTTGATCAAGGGAAGAACCGAAGGAAGCATTTTGCTGTACCCTGTTGACTACACAACAGGTCTTTTGGGAGAACCCACTCAAACCCGTTCTGTTGGTTTCACCCCATTTGCCTTTGAGTTTGATGATCGTGGCAACTTGCTTGTGGCTGAAGCCTTTGGTACCGCCTCCAGAATCCCAGCTGTTCAGGGTCCCACTCTCAATGCTGGTGGTGTCAGCTCCTATGAGATTGACTCTGCCACTGGTGAATTGACCAACATCACCACATCTGAGGGAACTTTGCAAACTGCAACATGCTGGATTCAACGTCATGCCGAGAGTGGTTGTGCCTATACCACCAACAACGGAAATGCCAATTCCATCTCAAGCTTGAGAGTTGATTCATATTCTGGAGAAGTTACTTTGCTGCAACCAGTAGCAGCCATTCTTGATGCTCCCCTTGACATGTCAATTGTGGATGAATTCCTTTATGTGCTCAGCACTGGCCACAGATCCGATGGCCAGCCCAGCATTCATGTCTTTGAGATCACACCTTCATCCTGTGATCTTGATCTTGTTGAGATTGTCACAGACAATATCCCTCACGAGAATGTGACAGTGTTTGGAGTTGTTGGCATGGCTGCAACCAGGATGTAAGGAACATCAGTGGTAGAGTACCGGTAGAGGACAGAAGAGCCAATATTTCCATAAAGTGCATGTAGCCAAAATTCATTTTCCAAATTCGATGTGTCTTCCTCCGTCGGTATTGGTAGCCTTCGGCATCAACAACACCAAAGCCGCCGTGCAGCAAAGCCGACGTTCAAAACCACATACTACTCTCTGCTGGTGGGAGGATAGCTAAAGTGCAACGAGTTGAACTGCGAAGCTGCTAGCTGCTACTAGTAGCTGCGCCCCTTGGACGCAAAGAGCAAGATGAAGTGACGAAGTTGGTCTTTAGCATCATCCAAATGGAGCCAAGCGTTCCGACAACCACGATCCAACAACCCTAACACGTTGGGATGCATTGCCTTCGAGTGGTGGATACCGAATACAAGAATTAATAAGTTGGCTTGAAAGATTTAGTGCCTGAAGTGTGTCGAGGAACCTCAAATCATGAGGCGAAATCATGAAATCATTGACCATGTGGTTGGAAGATGAGGATGTTGACGGCGATAGTGGTAGCAGCAATGAAGAAGAGGATATCCAACGCATGATCGAGCAGTTCTCGGCAGAGCAAAAGGCTGAGAGTGGCAAAAATTCCTCCAAGAAGAAACAAGGAACCAAACGACAAGGCAACCAGAAATCCAAAAAGAAACACAGGCCGAACTCTCTGGATGACCTTCACGAGAAACTCGGCCAGCTTACCGCTCGACTGGAAAAACAAGGTGTCTTTATACCACCATCACTGGACGATGCTGATGATGATGGCAGATCTGGCAAGGTTTGGAGCAATCGAAACTATGGTGCCGACAAGAAGCGACAACGGAAAGAGGCAGAACGATTTTTTCTCAAAAGGCGAATAGAACAGTTGGAGAAGTTGTGCCAGAAGCACAACATGGAAGGGAATGATTGTAGGTGAACTTATCCCAAATTTGATGGGTTGGATCAGAAAGCGCAGCCATCAAGACAAATGGCTGTAGCCCTACCGGTACGTGTATTTGCTCGGACCTTCACTCTCGACAGTTTTCCTCTCCTTGGATGAAGGATGCCTTATTTATTGAATGCGGAACGATACTGACCAATGGTTGGTCCGATATACCGGTAGTGAACGATGGTAAACAAGGACAATGCGACCTGGTGTAAACGAACCAGAAACCTTTTTGCAGGTGGTCGCCTCACAGACTCTTTCCTGGCAGTCTTGATCGATCAAAAGGCGAAAAGCACATGACAATGGTTTTCGGGGTTACTCCCTCTTGGATGCAGGCTCCGTAGCCTTTTCCCCTCTTGCCTTGTAGCATCTGTTATCTTATTAATCCCCACTGCACGTCAGTTGCATGATGGGGGCGCCGACAATCAGCTGAATGCTGAACGAATCAGCAGATACCTTACTTTTAGTGGGACGCCCTGATCCATCATCATTCTTGGCTCCGAACAGGCAAAAATAAGGCCATGTCGCAATTGTGACTTGTGGCGCCAATTGTCATCCAGATTGACGGAAGCCGCAAACTCCTCAAGATCGGCATGCTGCAAGTCCCATAATCTTGAAAGTCTCCCCCTTGATCAGCTTTATTGATAGACGTAGTTTGGAAGATGAAAAGTCGGGTGGCAGATCAATGGTGTCTGCATACGTCTCACTTGTAGTCTTGGCATGGTATCCAACAAAGTTAGTCGATGATAGAGGTTTCCATTCGTCTGATAAAGCATCCAATGCCATAACATCCAATCGCACGGTGCTACCATCCCATTTTGGACCGTAGCTTTTCATGTAGAATAATGTCACCCTCCGAATGGCGGGAGAATGCTCTTCTGGTGGAGCACTCGGGGGTGGGATCTCCAACAGTAGGTTCGATCCCACACCCTTTAATGGGCTCACACCAACCTTGCCATGTTCGGACTGGAATGCCCAACTGCTATTGTCGCTGTCTCCTCCAAAGTCACTCAAGGCATGTCCTTTCCAATAGGCGCTGTTGGCGACATCTTCCTTTCGATGTTGGGAATCCGGAATGTGTGGATGTGGGGCCACACGAATACGACTCACCCATGCAAATGGGCACTTTGCTGGAACAGGACAGACTCTGTCAGATGGCTCCCACAAGGTGCCTGCGGAGGATTCTTCCTGCCAACTCCGGGAAATGTCGTCCAAGGACAATTCTTGGGTCAAACGGGGCGGCAGACCGTTTGGTGGTGGCTTTGGTTTGCCACCAGGAACAAACTGAGTGTCGCCTCGCAAGGCAGGCAATTGCGGCAGGGCTTGCCGCGTCGTGTCATAGGAATGCTGAAGAATATCGTCTTTTGCCGATGCCAAACCATCGTCGACACGTCTCCAGGGTTCCAAGCTGCAATAGGTTGTTGTCAAATGTAGCAGATTGTAGGCAACCACCCATGCAGCCACTATATGCATGCCGAGCTGTGGGTGGATCTCTCGTACCATGGCACTGTTCTTTTTGGGATACCATCCTTCTGGAGAGAACCAGGATTCGTGTGTGTCGCCATACACCCAGTCGCGGACCACATCGGCATACGACACGGACGTAAATCCATAGTAGCGAGCCAATGTCTGCACAGAAGATGATCCTTCCATGGTGCTCAAAATTTCACGTTGTTCGTTCCCTAAGTAGTCATCCAAATACACAACGAGCGGTGGCGATTGTTGCTTTTCACTTTCTGGATGGCACTCCTGTTGTGCTGTCCTTAACAATGTAGCATTGCGATGAAAGTTTTCCACCATGACCCGTATCTGGTCGGCCAGTGTCAGGTTGCTGTGAGCAGCTTCGTCCATTGTCCAAGCATGCATGTCATTTGTAGAGTACCCGTTGATAATCACATCTGGATGGTTTGCCGCTTCGGGTGGCAACAGCTCAAACTGTATCAGAAGTGTTCCAGTGGCTGTATTGGTACCACCCACTCCAATATTGGTCACCTCTACGAGAGGTGCTTGAAAGAGTTGATTGAGGAATGCTCCCAGTCGATGGCCCCAACAGCATTCTCGCAGTGGCAGGTTAATATTGAACCCAAGATCACGAATGACTTTTCGGCAGTTTGTTCCTTGCAACAAAGATCCACCCAAAATGATGATATTGACGGGCCGAGGAATTTCTTCCTTGTGTTCGTAGCTGTCATTCAGCTTTGCGGGTTGTCCTGTTTCATGCACCAGCGCTTCTGGATGCAACTGAAAATATTCCAAACGCTTCCAGGCAATATCCAACACAGATTGAACCGATTCCCAGGATCGCGGTAGTGTCTGTGCGGAATGGGGCAGTCGCGACGACACCAGCTGCAACAAATGTGCTGTGAAATCATGTAACTGATACTGGGGGTCGTTGGGAAGCAGATTGGTGGCATTGTGGATCTCTGCAAGAAGCTGTGTCCAAACAAAGGATGTGGAAGGAATGATGATATCTTTTGGGGTCTCAATACCTGCCGTGTTGGCAACCGCCTGACTTAATTTCCCACACACATGGTGCCTTTTCGAAAACACATGAGATTCAAGTTGTTCCTTGCCAAGGTTGCTGTTGTAGGTATCTGCTGGCTTTACTTCCCTCTCGTTGACGGTCTCGGCTGTCAGCCCCCCCAGCCTTTCTGGGGCTTGTGAATTGCAAGCATCTAGTTTCTCGTGGAGATGTCTATTTTCTGTCTTGAGATCTTGAATTTGTTTCCTGAGATCTTCCAATTGCCGATTGGTAGCACCCAACCCTGCATCGCTAGTTCCAGCTCCAGTTTGGTTGGTTCTGACGTGATATGTGTAGGATAACCCTAAAGATGAAAAGGCTGCTGGAGACACCAGTCGACCACCCAGCAACAGAATAGCTAACGCACAGCAAAGGAGCAACAAAGTATACGTCGTGTACCGATGCTGAGTCGTTTTCTTGCCTTGCAACCGGCGGGGAAGGGAGCTTCGCGCCATTGTGACCTTAAACGTGGTACCCGTAGCAAGCAAGTCTACTTGTTAGTTGTCATTAGCATCAACCAAGACCAAGTAGAGGCGATACTGGTAGCGAGAGACCAGCATGGCCTCATGCCAAGATCATCAATGGGTTCAGCGTCTGTTGCCACCGACGCCTTTTCGAAGCCTGATGAGCTGCCAAAACACCACACGGTGAAGCTTCCTCCACGGTCGAATTCTACGCTTTGAAACTATGGTGGCATTCTACTAGCTAGGTAACCTCACGGATAAGAATAGCTACCGTGGCTAGCTCGAGAGAAGGCATTCAAGTGTGGACTGCTGGTAAGTAAGCTCACCGTTACATTGATTGATGACCAGCCTTGGTCTCTCCCGAAGCCTAGCGCACAAGAAAGAGCATTTAGGATTCCATCACAACTGCTGAAGCCCTCAAACCTCCTGCCTTCATAAGTGATCCTTCTCTTCCGTGTACAAATGGAAGAGCGGACAATTTGGCAACCATCTTCGTAACAACTACAATAATTACACACTCGGGAGGTCTTCAGGATACAGCTTCGGAGTCCTAAAACTCTTGACATACGGTAGCCCCCTCCTGTGGCCTATTCCTAACCAGGTAACGATCTAGTATTATCAGACTTTGTACTTGTTATATTCACGCTTTGCAGCCAACTATACACCAGTGCAAAATAAAATAGGCGTGAGCACCAATACCCATATAGCCCGAAAGAAATCATACATTCCCTTTCATTGCGATGAAACCGTATGACTCGGTCAAAAGCAATGGGAGGTTCGAGGATGTCACCATGGATTGAATGTGGCATAAATCCATAAAGACAAGACTGCAATCCTGGCATTGGGACGCGGACGAAGCAATGCCTATGTTGATTGGAAGTGCGTCTCGACGATTTTGGGTTCAGATGGCCTCTCGACGTAGACAGTTGAATCACATTCTATAGATGTTACTTGTTACAAGCGCGGAGAAACTCAGCGTTGTCAAGGTGGATGTGAATGATTTCTAGACTTGGAAGAATTCTGCACAGTACAGTACCTGTTTGCATCAAACAGTAAACTACCCCGTGGATGCAGACTAGACTAATCCATCCAATTCCGAGATTGATTCCAGGTTGGCATCGGCCAAGAACAGCCAGCGAAGAATCTTGTCAATGTCATCGCGTAGTTTTGCCACCACCATCAAGATGTCATTTTGCGTAGATTGTTGATTCATGTGGTTTCACCACGACCACGAATAATTCTCCTTTTTACAGTTTCTTGTGCAGCTTGTTTTGTTGTTGTTTGACGGTAGAAAATGGCGAATAGGCATCAATGAGGAGTGGCAAATGCCAGGTGGCATGAAAGAAAAAGAGATATGGTTTGGATTTTATATAGTTTCCCATGAACGGCGGTTCATTACAGACATGATGCCCGATATCTTTGACCACGCCACAGGCCATGGCAATGACACAACTGACCAGTGTGGGGTCGACGTCTTGAAGTGGCAGTACCACGTAAAAGTCGGGTGGAATAGTAGGAAGTGGCACCGTCAAGAAAGAACCAAACCAGAGTGTATGGAGCAATCCCGTCATGATGGGACACGTAATGGCGACGTAAAAGCAAAAGATATAGACAATGATTTGGAGATGAAAGAAGCGGAGTAATTGCACGACACCCCACATTTGAACACCGGCTCCGAGAATGTGGAGTATGAGATTGAGATGCTTGGAATGGCAGGGATAGAATTCTTCGGCAATTTGTCGGTAGGCCTCCTTGGTAACAAAGACCGATTCAAGCGTCAACGTGGGACCTTGATATTCCGAACCATTGTCCTTGCTGCTGCTGTTCTGGGTGTCGGTGGATGTCATGGTTGCCTTGATATCATTCATCAATTCTCAGTTTGAAGGTTGGATTGTTGCCACTTTCACGGTGTCGAAGGATCCTCTTGACGCCGAAAGAGCCGTTGTTCTCGCATTTTGAATTATCTCATCAGGGTTAGATTTTTTGACCAGTTGTTTCAGGGTTAGGGTTGATTGTGATTGGATCTTTCTCAATGCCTTCGCGATCTTTTGACTTCAGAAAACTGCACAGCACCTGGCAACAAACTTGAAGCCATTGACACTCAATGGTTACAACTGTTGCAACCCACAAACTGCTTCGTGGCATTACAATCTTGCATGGTCCTCACCATCATCAATTAAACCACCGATTCCTTGATTAGTCTAGACTCTCAGACAATTCATTTGATCACAACATCTCGAATTGTGGTAGCCAACATTTATTTATTTCTACATTTTCTTCCAAGTGGTTCCACGTTTCCACCATGACGAGTATTATTTCTTCCCGAATACTAGTACTCCCACTACTACTCCTGGCACTACCGTCCAATATTGTTGTGGCTTCCTTTGATTACATGAACTTTGCCCAAGACGCCGCCAATCAAGAACGCTGCAAACCGTACAAATGCGACGAGGGCTATGAACCGGTTCCGAAAAAGAAACACGAATACCAATCGGCCGGTTGCAATGCCATGGGAAGCATGTCCCTGTTTGATGACGAAGAAGAAGAAGTACCCTACGAAACCTGTTGTCATCACTGGCATGCCTGTTATCAAATTTGTGGCACGCTCAAGAAGGATTGCGATCGCGACTACAAACAGTGCGTGGATGAAAAATGCAAAGCCACGGGAAAGGAATATGACAATTGCCTGGAAAATGCCAATCAACAGACCATGTTGTTGGCCGTAGGAGGATGTCGATCGCACGAAGTGGAACAGTCCAAACATTGTGCCTGTACTACAAAGTATGGAGATCGACATTTGAAGGCACGAGAAGAATCGCTACGACACTTTTACCGCATGCATGCACCGGAAAACAAATCAAAGGTCAATGCGTTGCTGGAAAAGGCGGATACCACGCAAAAGTTGGGAAAACTGTTGGTGAAATTAGTCAAGAAATATCCAAAGGCTATTGAAATTGTGGAAGATCCACAATCGCGCATGTACCGACAAATGTTTGGAGCTGGATTTGGTGGAGGAAAAGATGGTGACGAGGAGGAGGAAGATGGCGACGAGTGGGGATTTGGTAAACAGGGCAAGTACGATCCAGATGATGATTTTGATGTCAATGAGGATTTGGGAGGCTATGGAGAAGACGAAGCGGCAGAGGAGGAGGATGAAGAAGAGGACGACGAGGCAGAAGAAATGCTGCGACAAGCCGAAGTGCTACGGATCAAGGCAGAAAAACTCAAGCGAGAAAAGAAAAAGAAACAAGAGGAGGAAGAAAAGAAGAAAAAGAAACAACAACAACAAAAGATGGAAAAGAAAAAGCCAAAACCACCTCCACCGGTAGAAGAAGTGGAAGAAGAACCACCGATAGAAGACGAATTCAACCAATATGAAGAGTTGTAGAAACAAGCTGCCAGGCAGGCTACGTGGAGACTGTTGTATTTAGAACCATTTACAAAACCTTGTGGAGGGCGTCCCATCAGACAAACTTGGAAGCCGGTACCTTGGGGACATGACTGGCTGGTGGATCTGCAATCTGCAAAACCCATACCGGTAGAAGCCAAAGAAGTGAATGTTAAGGAACTATTAGAAAGTAGGAAAACTTTGAAAACAATCCGAAGAAAAGGATAAACCCAAAAAAGAAAAGAAGACCAGCTGTGAGCCTGCATTAGAAGCAAAGACGTCAACCGTCCAGAACCAACCGCCACCGTCCGTGGCAAGCCGACGAATTGTCACGGTGCGAAAGTCATTGCTGCCTGTGTGATGGTGGGCCTCTGCAAGTCTACGGATAGATACAGCTTTATTTCGGTTTCAAATTACTCTGCTCATTGCACCTTTACATACGGTAGTACTTCAGGCGACTTGACGGATGCCCCGAAATGACATCGGAAGCAGCCTTCATCATAGCTTTGGTTTGGTTTCGATTTTCGCTGCTCGGTGCAACTTTGCATACTCGATGAGAGATGCCCTGGAAGCAGACTTCATCGCAGCTTTGGTTTCGTTTCAATTTACTTTGCTCAGTGCACCTTTGCATACAGACCCAGTCGATGGGACGGGTGATTGGAAATGTCCTCGGATAGGCTCCTCAGGAACTCTTTGTTCCTTTGGTTTTGCCTCGTAGGGGGCATTCGCGTCTGTGCGCCAACTTCCAATGAGCCAGTTGGCATTCTTTGCAGCACTGAACAGCAACAATCAAGATATATGTCAGGCCACGCACATCAAACGAAAGCCCCAAACAACTGCACAACTTACATAGGAAACGGTGCGACAGGGGCAGTTGCGGAGAAGGGTAATAGCAAAGAAGTCTTCGCAATTCTTGCACTTGCCAATATTATCCTTTTCGTCGGGTACTATAACGAATCCTTGCAAGAAGTTCTTGTAATATTGCTTCGATGGCAACAATTCACGTACACCTAATGAGGTGGCTGCGTCGCGTTGGGAATACTTGGCTGCAATCTTTGCGGTGGACCCATCCTTGATTGCCACAAGCAACTTGGCACGAAATTTGACCACATCGGGCTGCAAGGCGAGTGCTGCATCGAGGAGCTTTCGTGCTGTGCTTTGATTGTGACGATATTTGTTCTTGATCACATTCCCAAAATAGACATCATAGTGCTGAACCTTGTGGCCCTCAAATCCACATGCTGCTGCGAGACATCCCAATGCCACCTCGACAACCCGGACATCCGTTCCTTCATGATCCAACAAGTTTCCGTTGTGGGAGTGGGCTACCCAACCTGCATAGCACCTCAATAACCAAACGATTGCCTTATTGATGTCGCGGCCTGCTTTCATAGCCTCCATGCCAAGATTGCCGACTGCCTCTGCTTGTAGCACGCGGCACAGACCGTTTATGTAGCTCCGTTCTGCGTCAGGAAACTTTCGGAGAGTGACATAGGCAAGACCAGCCTCGAGATGGGAGGTGTCTTTTTCGGAGCTGGCTTCACCAAAGTCTTGATCACACAGGCTCTGCAAGATCTTCTCGGCTGCCAGATCATCCCATATCAATGCTGCCTCCTCCATTCTGCCAAGCCTATGAAAAGACCTGGCCGCGTTGATGAGAAAAATTCCAGTCATGCTGATGTTGAAGAAAAACCCCAAATCGGCAAGCGCCAATGTAACATCCAGCAATTCCTTCCAGTATTTCTTGGATCTATATGTGACAGTAATGCGTCGGCCAAGGTAGTAAGCAGTTTCTTTCGGCAGGCCTGCCCCGTATTCGCGGAGGTAAATATGAAGGATGCGATAAGCCAAGGCCTCCTTTTGCGATTCACGCCAGTGACTATCTATCCCAGAAAACATAACACCCCAAACGAAGCGATCTTCCTCAATCAAAAAGTGAACCATTGCATCGGGCGAATTTGGGTGCTCATGACTGGCCGAAATGAAATGATCCGAGTGCCCGTCATTGGTTATGTGGGTTGTTGTTTCGAAGAAGACATGGCCTTGGAAAAGTCAGAGAAAGAGCTTCTCTCCCTGCTTGTCATCGTCTGTAAAGACTTGGTTTTTGCTATGAAGAGGAGGTAGATCCTTACTGGACATACGGGGAAGCTTGGCATAGTTGGTCTCCGTTGGGAGCCGAATCATTGCCTTGGGGCCAAATTTCTCCTCGGCTCCACCCAAAAACTTGGGCACCTTGGAAGGGTCCAACTTGACGACGGCTGTTTCCAATGATGACATGATGTTCGGGAAACGCAGCTGAAGGATGGCGATGTGAGACAACAACAATGACAATGTCAACACAAACAAGAAGACAACCGAAGCGAGTTTTGTGGCTTCGTCTTTGGTTTTTGTTTGGCAAAATTTAAAACAGCCAAGCTGTGAACATCAGGCGGTCAAGCCAATTAAAGCCCCCCCAGACGAAGAGGAAATAATGTTGGCGTTCATTCAGAAAGCAGAGAATAGGGTTCCAAACTCCTGCCCTTGGCGCTCTCTACCGGTGCATACCGTACAACAGACAGTGGAGTGGAATTGGATGTAGCAAATGGCAGGTAAGTGATTGAATCATTCTCCCTCCTGCTGTCACCGCCAAAATGACAGGAGTGTTTCCCTCGGAACTTTTCCTTGTTCTTCCTTGCAACAAATGGTTTATTTTTCAGGCAAGTCATCAAGTGAAAGGAGTTGAGTTCTTCCAGACCCACGGTAGGATACGGTGAGCCTGTGCTACCAGCCGTGTAAAAAGGGCTGTCGCAAACTTTCAAAGTTCTTGGTGTCTTTGTGGACCAAACCAATCTGAAGAGCCCATCCCATTCCAGGGCATGCTCATGTGGTCATTGATGTGGACAAGCACCAGGACGTAGTCGAGCGAGTAGGCTCAAAGTCCAGGATGGGATCAATGTTTTAGATGCTGGTGCAGATGCCATGGTTGATGATGTATGGAAGACTGTGCTTCAACAATGCGTTTGTTGTGGTTTTGGGGGTTTGAGAGCTACATGAGAGTTAGCAGATGATGAACCAACTTGGGGTCCATTTTGGGAATGGATTTACACTGCGGCTTTTCGTAGTGGGCCCAACTCTTTTTAAAAGCAGAAGTAGATACCTGAAAGGAATACTTTGGGTAGCAGGAGAACGATGAACCCAGAAGAGAATAACCATCGATAAAAGTATTGGAGCTGTCAATCAAATAACGAAACGTACCCCAGCTAGTAGGGAAGTCTGGAAGCCCAAAAGCGCAGCAAGTTTTGCTGGATGCATAAAGCGGAATTTTATTAATAGGACCACATCCACGCTTTTCTAAACTGAGACTCGCGCTAGCTAGACTAGTAGGTACGATCGAATGAGCCGACATCAGGGCATCAGAAGGAAAGGGAAACCTGCAACACTGGTGGAGTACCGATGGAGCAAATCTGCCATTATTCCTTGTTCCTGATTGAATGATTCTGTTGCGAATTGGTTGTCTTTCTTGGCATTTCTTGGTATTGCTTTTCCCTAATCAATTTCAGTAGCTGCGTGTCGAATCCACACGCCATTGTTGTCCATGTTGATTTCTGATTTCTCCTGGCTAGTGGCATATTATTGTTGCAGTTGTGTCAAGAATTCGACTTGTTTTTTCAAACTTTCCACATCTTCACTGTCACTGTCTTCGTCCTCATCGTCCAATAACTGCTGCAATTCTTCTTGCTTTTGCTGGAGTGCTGTTTTGCCTTGTCGATTGACGAGTCCCACATTTATTCTTCCCACCTCGACGAGCATGCGAGCCGCCTCGGCCGTTCCAGCATAATGGAGTGCCGAATCGCCTTCATGGTCCACGGCATTAATACCGTTTGGATCTGCATGTATTTGACTCAGAATCCATTGCAACACGGGCAATTGTCCGTACGAGGCTGCTGCTTGGAGCAACGTGTACCCGGTTTCATCGGCGGCCGTCACGGGAAGCTGGAGACGTTGGAGTGATGTTTGAAGCAGAGAGAGCTTGCCGTCGGCGGCTGCGATCCAGGGTGTCCCTGCTTCAATAAGCTGTTCTGGTACAGCGGCTGCCGCTGCCGAAGGTCGTTGCAAACCAAAGGATGCCATGGTACTTTAGTCTCTTTGATTGTTTCGTTGTTTCAAGTTCCAAAGTTGTGTTGAAAGAAAAAATGAGTGGCGGGTGGGAGTTTGTGGTCTGATGTGAGAATATCCTGAGCCCTAACTATCCACGATCCACGAAGATCCGCAAATCTTTCCTCATTTTTTGGTCGGATCCTTGATGGCAAAATGGCAAGGAGACTACTAAAGACAATGGAGCAATGAAGCTATTGCAACAAAGGCATACCAGTGTCGCAAAGTGCTGCTTTCTATTGTCGTTCATAGCAACGAGAATAACTGGCTTTCTGATTGGATACAGCTCTCTGCTTGGTAATCAGAGGAGTTCACAGCCCTCACGCAGACAACCCAGATTCTCGAAAGATGCTCTGTTTCGTGACGACGACGACGGCACATCTCCAAGAATCGACCCCTTCCTCGCCCTGGCCATGGAAGAATCTCTTGTCAAGATTCAGATCCTGATGGCAACAACGACAGAGACTGCAAATCCAAAGTCATATTATGGGCTATCATCATGGAAGAAGCTATGGAAGGATTGTTGTGAATTAGTCCAAGTTGACCAGTCCACCGTTCCAAACGCTGGATTGGGTCTATTGGCCAACACCAATCTGGAAGAAGGGACGGTCGTGAGCTTTTATCCCGTCCATGGAATAGGAATGGATCATACTAGTACGGGAGGAACCACTGCAGCCATTGCCTCCACCAATGACGTGGATCAAGACTTCTTTGACACACAACAAGACCAAGATGGTCGCAATTACCGACAATGCTTGCTTCGTCCTCTCACGGGCTACTCTACTACGATACGCGGAAAGGAAAAACTGTTTATCGATGTCAATCCCCACCGGTCCGTCCATCCGGGATGGACCAGTCACTGCGTCAATGATGGAGCCACAATACTGCCACAACCACAAGGATACCAGGAAGAACAAGTCCTAACTTACTACGAACAGTCCCTCCAAAAACAAAACTGTGTGCAAATTCCATTTGGACCGGTGCCTCTCATGGCCACCGTCACCACCAGGGCGGTCGACGCGGGTGAGGAACTCTTCACTTGCTACGGAGCGGCCTATTGGCTACCGGTGGTAGGAGACCCGAATCATGTCCCAAAGTTGCTAGCATCTCCAGGTATTCTCAAGTCTATAGACCATTCGGCGTGCCTGACACGTGAGAGTATTCAAAAGGTCAGCGCTCGATACGACAAGGAATGGGCGGGCATTGAGGAATCATTTCTTGCTGCTTTTTAACTAAAAAGCAGCATGAAAGACGACATGGATCCTTGAGGCTATCCCCGGACGATAGCTGAAGTGAGTACTGTATGGCAACACTATAACAGCCACTTGCTTTGACTCCAACGACTATTAATATGCAATAAGCAATTTGGGATCAATTTTCAGCATCGCTCTTCCATGTATTCTTGCACCCAACTTGAATCTACGTGGCTGCAAGCTGGGGGCAATAGAAGACGTGCCTTTTGCGAACGTTTCTTTGTTGAGTGATTGCTAATGTAGGGACTTCTTCCTGCGCTGGAAGAAGCTGGACTCAGCAGCCAGGGAGTTGGCTCCAAAGCGACAACAGATTCGCCGTGTACGATGTACTGGCTGCAGTGCCATGAAGGATACAAGAAGACAGATATCTTGCTTGGGCTTGTCGCGGTACCAGTGAGTTGTTTGCCAAGGCCAGCTTGGCGTTTGGCTCCGAATTGGCTTTGACGCTTTGACTGCTCAGCTATGATCAAGAGCTACCTCTAGCCAGCGCTACCGTTACACAGTGAGTAGCCCCATGCATGCAGCTTCAATGCCCGACTAAGTTTCAATGGTACCGGTACATGTAAGTATTCGGGTACTTCATCAGGAGGACCTCCAGGTCTATCTTACATCCAATGCTCCAATGGCTGGTGGCTAAGAGCCTCCCGCGACATGGATGCTTCACAGCCAGTCCTTTTTGTTGTGATGTTGTGATCTCGAATGGATCCTGCGGAACACAAAAGAAGGCTCCGATGTAATTCTGTTGATGTGCGTTCCGGTCAATGACGTTGTTTTCATGTTCAAGCGCGGTTCAATCTCATACTGTACCAGTCATCACTTCAAAGAAGAAAAATTTTACTGGTGCCACCAAAACTACATGACGGAACTAGCGAAATAGTGATTGGGTCACCTGTTTGCTACGTTGACGCCACAGGAAGATCTCTGCGCCATACTTTCAAGAAGGTCCTCCGATCCTCCTACTCTGTTCTCACTAAAAGTTTCATCGTTGTGTCAACCGGTCTGCGTTGAGTTCTTATTGTTTGTTGCGACAACAAAAACAAACACCATGAAGCTTTCCGTTCTATTCTCAAGCGCCCTTGCCATCCTTCCCTCCGTGTTGGCCGCAGATGGGAATCTTGTCGAGGTATGGCTCGAGGCCAAAGTTGCCGACGTCGAGGTGGGAAATGGAGGTCCCACGCTCATGGCTGCCAAGACGTTCAACGGGACAATTCCCGGACCTCCCATTGAAGCCAATGTGGGAGATACCCTCCGAGTGCACTTTACCAACAATCTGGACTATGGAACTACACTCCATTGGCATGGCGTGGAAGGTAGGCAATGGCATGATAATAGTTATACCCTGTTGCATGTTGTTTGTTATTGGTATCTCACCCGCTCTCATTGCTTCAATGTTTTCTTGCATCCAGTCCCCTCTTTGATGGATGGCACTCCTCTCTCACAAGATCTGGTAGAGCCGGGAGAAAAGTTTGTCTACGAATTTGATTTGTTACATGCCAGTACTCACTGGTACCATACCCATGTCCACACCTACGAAGACACGGCATCGGGTCTGTACGGGGCATTGCTGATTCGAGACCCGGAACTCGACGCCGAACTTCCCCAAGAGGACCACACTCTCATTTTGGACGATCTCCTCTTGAACGAGGCACAAACCGGCCTTGTACCCTTCTTGGGAGATCCCGCCATTACACCGCTGGTCCGAGCCGAACAGTTGCTCAATGGACGTTATGGAAATCTACTGGTCGTCAATAATAATTTGACACCCGTCCAACAATCCACGGGAGTGCCCATGCGCCTGCGACTCATCAATGCCGCCAACACGAGATTCATGAGGATTTCCTTTACGGGTGCTCAAAAAGTGTGGAAGATTGCTGGAGATGGAGGTCTCTTTGAGACCCCCGTGGAAATTCTACCCATTGACACTATTACCGATGGTCAAGGCATGGAAGTGTCCAATCCCGATCCTTCATTGGGATTACTGCTCACCCCGGGAGAACGCGCCGAGGTCGTCTTGGCACCCACCGAATCCATCAACATGGAATGGCACGATTTGCCGGTTGGATTTCACGATGTGTATGAAGGATTGGATGCCGATACCAATGAGACCGTCATCAAAGCCAACCACGAAGATCCCATTGACGGCAAACGCCCCAAACAGGTCTTGATGGAGTTTGTGGTGGACGCAGCCGCCGCCGAAACCACCTACGAACCACCGTCGGGATTGGTCACGATTGACCCCGTGGTGCCCTCCAACACGGAACCGCTGGATGTGGTCTTTGGACACGGCGGTGCCGACTTGGTAGGAGATGTGCCCTTTTATGGGCAGGTTGATGGAGATGGCAACAAGCTGGCTTTTGCGGATATTACCCCGGAGATTGCCCATAAAGTCATGGTCGGCGAGGAACGATTCATTGACGTGGCCAATGCCGATGGGTACGATCACAATTATCATTTGCATGGATTTTTCTTTCAACCCGTCTCCACCACTTGGATTTTCAAGAATGGTACCACCGCCATGCAACAGGAGGCTCCCTTTGTAGAATGGAAGGATACCATTCATCTTCCACGTCGCCCGGAAGCGGGTGGAAAGGCAGTGCAGCGACTGGCAGTTCACTTTGGGCGGGCGCATTCGAAATACGAGGAGGACATTTGTGCCATGGGCAAAGAGTTTGATTCCAGTGTTCCCATGAGTGGTGGTTGGCTGATGCATTGCCACATGCTCGAACATGCCGACTTTGGAATGCAGACATACTTGCAGGTGGATGGCTGTCATGACGACGGAAATCATACTCACGACGGAGAAGACCTCGGAGAAGAGGAAGGAGGTCCTACCTGTGCTGTGGTGGATGTCAATGACGATGACTACTGCCAGAAGTACATTGATCGCCTACCAGTCAATGACAACACCACGTGTGATTGCTATAACTTTTGCAATGGTGAACTGGATGGTTGCTATGCCTTTGGGGAAGAGCAAGAAGACTCTGGTTGCGAAGATTTTCCTCGAAAAGGGTGTAATGCTTCCCAGGGTGAACCAGGCACAGCTACCTCTGCAGCCACAAGTCTGTGGAAGGTTGCCTTTGGTGCACAGGCTGTCCTATTGGTTCTAATGGCATTCAATGCCCTGTTCTGAGAGTTCCATGATTGATGTCATCATGTGTAACCAAATGCATCTGCACTCCGGTGCGTTTGCTGTGAGCACCTAATTCTCTTTTGTGCTTGGGTTCGTATGCATCCATGGCACTGAGGAAACTGGACGGAGAAAGAACTGCGCTGTGTTTTCTTAAGTTTATATACTAATCGAATTACCAAAGAAGGTTAACATATGCTTGCTTTAGGCTAGCTAGCAAGGTGAGATGTGGGATGTGGGCTCTTTCTCTCTTTTGGTTTACTGGTGGGAGTGACTGGCTGAAACGAGTTCGTGCTTTTAGGTATTGCCTCCCAGAGCATCAACAACTCTGCTGGCTGCACTCGTACCGCTATATGCATATTATGCATGCACTTCTTTCAAACGAACACTTTGTCCTCACCATGACAACCCTTCCCACTCATCAGCATTACATTGCCGGACAGCATGGATATCAGCAGCCATCACCAGCATCAGGGTGTAACAGTGTGTGCCATTCCTGTTGCTTCCGCCACTCCAATTGCTAGTCAGACCACTAGTACCGATACAGTAGATTCCCCCCTTGTCTCTGTACAGCTTGTTCCAGATTCACGGGAAGACGAAGCTGAAAGTGGGGAGGAAAAGCAAGAAGAGGATGTAGAACTTGCCCAAGAACATCAACGGAGTCCATCCAGAGGCAGAAAATTCAACACGGCTAGACGAGAAAAAGAAGAGAGACTGGTAGCCACACGAGCCGTCACTTTCGGGGCTGTCGCCAAACATGGACTCAGAAGATCAAGGCCGGATCCTCTAATTGATACTCCAGAAACCAATCTGAATAGAAATGAAAGCCAAACCAAGACTAGTACTGCGATTGGTAGGGGTGCTGCTGGAGACATTGTGGGCAACAACAACGGCAATTCTAGCGAGGAGATTGTCTCTCCGCTGTCAGTCCCTGACTCTGCGGCTGAAGGTGTTTGGACTCCTACCATGATCCACCTCAAGACGGATATGGTCAATGACTCTCCACTATCCCCATCCACCATGGAATCAGTACACATGCCTCCTCACAGCATCGAACCCCATCCGCCTGCAAGGGATGGAAGAAATCGGACCACAAGCGACAGCGGCTACAGCAGTAATTACACGAGCAACAACCCAACAGATGAAGACAAAATCAATTTCCCTACTCTAAAACCCCCCTTATATTGCTTTCCAGATTTCAAGGAGAACGTGCTGGGGTCTCACAACGGTAGCTTTGGTGATCGCTGCCATCACTGTTACAGTTGTTGTAACCATTGCTGTTGCTGGTGACAATGGAGCTAACCCACCAACAACAGACACAGAGATTAACCCCACAGGAGCTCCCTCTGCAATTTGGCTAACTCCTACACCTACGAATGGTACGTTGAATCTTTACCCTTGGTAGTGCTTCTGCATGTTGAGTTTGCCTTACTGGTACCCTTGTATCACAGGAGGAGCCAACAGTGTGACACCAGGTACATTGTCGCCTACAGCAGGAACAACGAGCGCACCCCCAGCCGTGATACCTGCCAATACAACTTACATGGTTCACTTCACGATTCAATTTGGGTTCAACGAGGGCATTGCGAATGCCCAACCAAGACGAAGTTGAAGACTTGATTTGCCAAACCAATCTGTTCATTCAAAACCGAGTTCGGAACCACACAGGAGACAACACTGTCACAACCGAAGCATTCAACATCGATTGGGAATTCCTCCTTGTCGACGGCAGCAACGGTCAAGCTGCCCCACAGCCAGTCGCTGTTTCGTTTCTATCCAAGAATACTTTTGGTGATATGGGAGCTCAAGTGCCAGGGCAGTTGGTGTCAGATGCCATGCAGTTACAAAGGGAAGACATTCTGGTTTACATTGAAAGCTATGTGTGGAAGGGTATCCCCGAGGGGAATATGTTTCGCAATATCACCAGTGCCAGCTTTGATGAAAATATTGTCGGTCAACCAGTGCATGCCGGAAAGCTGCCAACGTCATCCTGCCAACTAAATCATTGGTCACCAATGTATCCAACCAACAGTCCTACTAGAGCTGCTTCTACCAAAAGACCAACCCTTACACCCTCCAAAGGAACCACTTCTGATCCCCCCTCTCCCAGTCCCACTCTGCTGCCGGCTACAGCTTTTCCAACCAAGCAGCCCACCATAAGACTAGCCACGATGCAACCGTCTCCGTCTTCCAGTCTCGCCGAACAGCAAACTACTGGGCATCCAACAACTCTGAGCCCAACTGTGGCTACCGAATTGCCCAGTGTCAACCCAACCACAGCAATCCCAAAAACAAGCACACCAACTGGTCCACCTACAAAAGGTCAAACTCTACCACCAACAGAGCAACCAATAACCGCTACCCCGACAACAGCAAGTCCCACCACGGCACGCCCTACCGGTACGGGAAATCCCAGTGCTGCACCAACCACATCATATCCAACCATTCAACCCACTCCACAACCAACTTCCAAGCAGCCCTCTTCCAATCCAACAGCTCAGCCGACTACTGAAAGCCCAACCTATCAACCCACTTCCAAGCAGCCCTCTCCCAATCCCACCACTCAGCCAACTACTAACAGTCCAACCTATCAACCCACTTCATTGCCTACTTCTAAACCACCCACCCCCACTCCCACCTCACAGCCCATCATCCAACCTGCGACAGTGGATCTATTTGGAACAATCTACAATGTGGCCAGCACTACTGAAATTCGTCTAGCCAATCAAGGCCTCACTGGAAGCATTCCATCTGGGATTGGGTTGCTGACTGCTTTGACTGGTATACACTTGGGTGGCAACAACTTGGGCAACAGCATGCCTTCTGAACTTGGAGAGATGACTGCTTTGGAGTGGATTTACTTGAACAGCAATCAGTTATCTGGCAGCCTTCCATCGGAACTTGGATTGTTGACCAGGTTGACTGTGTTGAGCCTGTATAGCAACCAGCTTGTTGGAAGCCTGCTAAGCGAGATTGGGTTATTGACTGCATTGGAAGTATTGTACTTGAGCATGAACAGGGTGAGTGGGAGCATTCCATCAACACTTGGACTGCTGACATCATTGACAACACTGGGCCCGTATGACAACCAATTGTTGGGTAGTGTGCCCACCAGTCTCTGTTCCAACAACTGGGGTACTTATGGGCGCATCGAAATTGATTGTGCTCCAGATCCTTTCCCTGTGGAGTGTACATGCAGTCAGTGTACATGCACCTGAATGCATACATAAACTAGAAAACGCGTTGCCACGCTTCAGGCCACCGCAGCTTGACTGAACGGTTCCTTTTAGCATGCACCAAACACCCTGGACTCCGTGGGATCAGGGCGTGGATGACAATAACTTTAACCTTAACTGCATCGACATCGAAAGGGTATCTTTCCACTATCGAAAAGATCCAAGCTAGCTAGATCCTGGACCAATTCTTAAGCGAAGGGGGTCTACCATGTACATCATGTGTTGAATCCAAATGGTGGGGGGTCAGGCTCATGCAACCGTGGGATCAAAGGGGGATCTGGTCTTGGGTTCTTTGTCTCATTCAGTACTGTCATGGAAGTCCAAAGCTATAAATAACACATATGCATTAACACCATTATATTCACTAAGATGGGGGTTTTCTGATACCCGAGTACCCGTGACAGGGTCACTCCAAGGCACTGTGCTCTAGGGCATTCAAATCCTGATGGGAACAGACATTCCTCCTTTACAGGAGTTGCTCTGCCTGGTTCAACACCTTGGCAGAGCATGGATGTTCCCAACATTCAAATCTTGTCCATTTGTAGATACACATGGTCTCTGGTCATGACACCAGAGACCCCAGTCCCCCCTCGTCTTCCTCCTGGTGAAGAAACCTCATCGACCGAGTGAGATTTCAAAAGGAATGTGAATATTTCAACAGGAACGGAGTGAGTGCTTCCCACTCCGTGTAGATGTCAATCACCTTCCTGTGCCCGCCAGGGTTGTCTCGATCTGTCCTCCATCGGTTGATGGTGTTCACCAAGTCTTCTCCTAATTCAAGATGCCGGGCCCTGGCGGTGGCCCCTCGTCTGATTGACCTCAACAAGCCGAACTCTTCTCGGACCTTGACTTTTTCATCTATGACTGCTGGCTTCCTCCGCTGCACTTCTTCCAGAAGTTCGAAGAAGTCTTCTTCGAAGTCTCGTAAGCGAGCTGGTCCCCCAGTATCATCTCCAAAAAGGTAGCCTCCAACTCGCCCTCGTCGCTCTAAGCATCGCATGTATCGCTGGTGCCACAGAGCGGGACGTAGTTCGCTGCCGCTTGTTTTTGCAACCATAGGTATGCGCAGCGAGGCTGATGCTGAGCGGTCCGTCTTGATACTGCCAGCCATCGCGTAATGGAAATGTGGCTCGAGCTGCTTCCACGCGACCAGGTTCGAGAAACTGTTGCGCGTGCCATTCATCTCAATGATTAGCATTTCCTCTCCTCGTAGAGCTGTGCAGTACTCGCCATTCCACCATGAGCCCATGCGCGAGGACGTCTACTTGCTCACTTCGCTCGTTGCGTTGTTCCATCGTTCTTCTAGAATGACGTTTATTTCCAGCATGACCTCCAATGACACTGACTTGTCTTGTCGAGTGACCTCGCCAGTTCGCCGTTTGATTCCGGACATGAATCGAGCGAAGAAATGGGTGTGAGTGGACGAATTGGTGATCCATACCTTCTTAAGTCCATCAGCTCCGATGGAGTAGCCTTGTCCTTCCAAGCTTGCTCGCGCTGCATTTGACATCGCCGTTTGCGCCTTCCGGTATGTATTTGGCTGCACATACTTTTCGTAGCGACCATATGGATCTTGAGAGCGATCGATAATGGCCACCACGGCCATCATACCCAAAGAATCGTTCAGCGGGAATGGCCCATAGGGAGGGTTCAAGCTCACAAACCCGAACTTGTCTGCCGTCTTCTGTCCTCGCAACATTTCCAATCGGTTGTGGTTCACGGTTGTGGATTCTCGACTCCAGAAGGCTTCCAAGATTCCCCGCCGTATATGAAGAAGCAATCTCTCATGCGTCACATTTCCAGCTACCTGGTCCCTCTGCATCATATTTCGGAAGTGGCACACCTCACATTGGAAAGAGAGCATCAAGTGGTCACCGTCCCTTGCTTGGAGATACACATTTTCATCCTTGCGAGCCAGGCTCAATCCATCATTGTCCACCTTCTTCCTTGATCTGAAACCGTCCTTCTCCTCCAACCTAAAACACACAGCACACCACGCTCCTCCACACCTGTCGAAGCTACCTCGCCGACTCAAGTAGTTCGCGCAAACTACTCCTGAACCAGCCGTGACGATAACTTTTAGGAGTGAGAGCTCTGGATTCCTCTGGGATAGCTCCAACAGCTATGCTGGCCTACAACTCCAGCATGCGCAGTTGGCTTATCTCCCAGCAAAGCAGCAAGAAAGGATCGTCCTTTCTACCATAGTTAAGAAAATAGTACGAAAGATTGAGACCGATCCTGATTAGCTTGTAGCCCCTTTGATACCGCAGCAGTTGATACCTATCCTGTTGAGGCCGGGCAGAAGCAGTAGGAGTGCACTACGCTAAAAGCTAGTGTAAAGATCTTTTGAGTGTTTTGAGTTTGAGAGAATGAAAGTTATGAGAGGATTAGAAAGCTATGAAAACTAATCAACGAGAGAGATCCACAATCAAAGGATCGTAGATCTGAACTCCCGCGGGAGACTGTAGAGTGTGATAGAGTAGGTTGCGGTAGCAATCCTACTCACTTCACGATCCAAAAACGGAACGCGTGGAAGATTCGTCTAGCATTTATCTAGTAGCGTGGAAGTACTCCACGCTGGCTAAATCTCTAGAGCGATGTTTCATCATCAACCTAGTATGACTAGAGCGGTCATTGAGAATCCTGTCTCAATGACTATTCCGAGAGACTCAGTCATGAGTCGAACTCACCCCTATCTAGGATCGAGCCGCGAATAAGGCTAGAGCGTGTATTGCATTTGCCCCCTGACAAGGGTCACGGAAGGCACGACATCAGTCGGACAAGGAGAACATATGATTAAAGTGCGGGCACTCTCCGGAGATTGGATGTAGACATGTGCGTCGCACGATGGCAATCCTACAAGGGGATCAGGCCTGTATGGGTGTAAATACCTTATTTCCAAGTCTGGTAGACTGTGCCGCTACTGGCGGTAGTATGTCGGAGCCGTACAGTGCCATTGTTATTGACTCGGTCTGTGTGGTAAGGACTTTGGCTGACCGTACTAACGGTTGATACTGATGAATCATCAAGTATCGTTGACATGGGTTTGATGAGGGACACGTGTCGTGTTCTCCTTATTGGTTTTTTCTGGATAAGTCGTTGGCGACGTTCCTTAATGTATTTCCGTTTGCTTTGAAACGGATGTGGTGAATCTTGTCACGATTGACGCGCGTGAACTTGCGACGAAGTCCACGTTCATCCCGAGAGTCTTCTCGACCTCTGCGCGGGACTCACGTTCTCTGTCCATGACAACCGGTCATGGATACTGGGTAACCCACGTCTGGTTCAAACGATGGTTACTCCGTCTGCTGTCTTGGAGCAGCCCTTGGTAGTCATTGGTCCAATGAATCCACGAAGTTCCTTCCTGTTGGTCGGAAGAGCCATAGTTGGATCGCATCTGTTATCTTTTTAGTTAAGGGTTGGATTCCTTCTCGCGTAGTCCAATTGCCTAGATATTCAAGTTCTTCCTTTCGAGGAAGGCCTTGTAGTGTTGATTTTAACCCCGACTTCTTGAAGTCTTTAGAAAAGTCATCTAACTATTCAACGCGATCCGCCAGATCGGCGTCAGTTAGGATGAGTTGATCATCAATATATGCACGGACATTTCTAAGTCATGCATGCGTGTTTCCATCTTCCTTTGGAAGATGTGGCTATTACATAGGCCCATTGGCAACTCTGGTACTCGTGCTTTCCCCTCGGGAGTGCAATGGTAAAGTGTTGCTTCGAGTGGGTGACAGCTCGATGTGGTAGTGTCCCGTGTTCAGGTCTAGCCTGGTAGCGCACTTGAATCCATCTAGGTTCAAGAGATGTCCTGTATTTTTGGGATAGGATAAGGCTTCCGCTTGATCCGTTTGTTCGGTTCCCGAAAATCCGAGATGAATCGTGCAGATCCTCTTTCTTGGGAATGATAAAAAGTTGGTGCCGCCCACTGGAACGATTCACCTTCTTGAGTGCCCCTGTTTCGCAGAGACGTTCACCTCCTCTTAAGAGTGTTTGGTATGGACCCGTGGATGGGGTGAGCCCTAGTATAATGGATTTAGCGTCGGGACGAAGTCTACTTCGTATTCGTCCATTGCAGCTGTCCAAAGTTCCTCGACTGGGCCGAAGCTCTTGGTTAAAAAGGCATGAGGCAGTTCTTGCTCTTCCTTATTTAACTGTTTCGACTCGGCACATCTGCCTTAAGTCAGTTGTTCGTATTTTGTATCAAGAATCTTCTTGAGACTATCTGCATTGTCGCTGACAGCTGCAGGATCGGGAATGGAGAAGTTCTCCTTTCTATCGGTATGCCATTTTCGCAGGGAAAAATACGCTGTTCCACCCAATGACATGGTAGTGAAATCAAACTTGATTCTTAGTA